GAGTTATTTTCTTAGACAACAATGTAATCTCCGAAGAAATTGTTCAGATCAGATCACTTTATCATATAGCTGCCATACAAATTGAAAGATCGGCATCAAATACTTGTAAGGAGCATATGTGTTTGTGAAGGGTATTGTAGCTTCAGTGCAACCGAAGTTAACGTTTTTTCTTGTTTTTATTATAATGATACAATGCGATCTAATTTTATTTTAGTATTTTTTTTTATTATAATGATCCATCAATGGCTAAAGCTTTAAGTCTAATTGTGTTTTTTTTTGTTTGATACTAAAATGTCCACAAGTCACTAATGGGTTAAATAATTTTTAAAACGATTTTTTAAAAACTTAAATTTCATTTCTTCTTAAATATAAAACCTGCTTCAGTGAGTGGGTGTATATAAAATGCTGCAAAAAATTAGTTGTGCTCACCTTTCTTGTATTTTTTTTTCTCACAACTTCATACGTGTTGACAATATTCTGTACGTGTATTGTAAACACCAATTATCGACTACAACAACCCAATGCTAAGCGATTTTTTTCAGTTATTTGTTCTTGTACTTTTTTGTGCAAGTTCTTGTATCTTTGTTTGTATAGTGTAAATTTTAAGCCAAAAAATTTTCAGTTTTTGCAGCTGTCACTACTGCGCTAAATTCACAAAGGCAACACGGCGTATAGTTATAGCGCAAAGAAAAAAAATAATTACAGCGGTATTTCCCTACGTTTTCACGCATTTGTTGAGTCTAGTTTTGTAAATGTAACCGTATATTGTATAACTGTATTGTGTATATTTTTCGGTAAGTAAACTTTATAAGTTATTATAATTTTTCATATTTTGAAAAATTAGCATATCACATTTCTTTAATTGGCTTATGACTTGTATATTTCATTCAGCTCTTTATTTATAGTTTGATTTTCTCTCCCTATGAATTTCGTTGCGTATATCTTACAACAACAACACCCATTATTGGTTCATTTTTGGATGTGCGCCGTACCATATAGTAGCCCAAAAGCAAAAACGAAAACAAACAAAAAAATTAAAAATACCGTTATCAACACTGTTTTGTTTACCGAATGCCCAATTACCAAACTTTTTCGTTTTTCTCAAAATCAGTCAACCGTTAAATGAGTCAAAAATAAAAACTAAACGCTCGGTTTGTATTTGTCTTCTTCTATTTAACTGATTTATTACTTAGCAGTACATTTTGCAGAACATTGTATTGTAATATTTTTTAATTTAATTCTGATTTGTTTATTTACAGGTGTTTGTGTGCTAATTTTCACAGTAAACAAAAAAAATATAAATAAAAAAATATGTATCCCAGATTATTTGAACTTCTTGAACGCCAACCGCTCACGTACAAAGTATTTAATTATTATTATTAATTATCATTGTATTATTATATTTTAGTAAACAAAATTTTTATTTAAAAATTTAGTGTATAATTTTTGTAAGCGATTGTAAGACTTGTTTATAATTTCTTTTCTGTCAATGAAGTTATGAAAACATTACAAAGCTTAAGGCAATAGCAAAATTAAGACAAGCATAAACATTCATCTATCACTTATCGCCAACCCAAACAGCGAGTTGTGACATTCAATGTAGAGCCGATGTTAGCAAAAAATAATAATATTGCCAGTTATAAAAATTTACAAATATTGAAAAGTAATCAAAATATTAGTTAATCAAAATATTAAAAATACCACAAATCTATGCATATGCGTTCGGTTATCGGCTCCACATTAATGTAAAAATTTCAATTAATTTTGTATCTGCATATATTTCGTCTTTCGTTACTAGCTACACAAATAACCATTGTAACCATTTTTCTCTTTGTACATTTTATCTAACTTCTTGTAATTTTAAGTTCAATATGCTACATCATTATACTTATTATTGTAATAAATGGCTTAAAAGCTTAGACAGTTGCCAGATTAGCGCAAAAATTCGAACAAACGAAATAACACTTCAGCGTCAAAGTTGTTGATTGCTTTGTTATACAAAAACCAACAATAAAAAATATATATTTGCAAATTTTCGAAATTATACCAGCGCATACGCTACAATTTACAACATTTTCAAAAACTAATGAAGCGCTCTTTAATTTCTTTGATTTTACTACACCGTTAGCGGCTTTGTAACGACATCGTCGCATTTTTCGTCTTTACAAAAAAAACAAAAAAAAAACTGATATTTCTTCGTTATTAGTTCTAGCAAACGATGTGTTTTTTTTATTTGGAAGCACCCGAATGAGATTTAAACTATTTTTTTCGCAAACAGTTTAAAGCTTTTAAGTTATGCTCTTAGCTAACTATGTATTTTTAAGCACAAGATAATTGTATTATTTCGATTAATTAGACTTGTTTAATTGACATGTACTATATAATTAATTATTATATTTATAGTGTTACTTATTTTATGCGTGATTTGTACTTGATTTTTAGGAACAAATAATTATTTCATTATTTTTCAGCAGCATTCGTCACAGTACTGTTAGGCAACGACATTTTTGTTTTGAAATTTAGTGGCTTTGTGATTTTATAAATTATAACAAAAAATATATATATTTACAAAAATATTATTTTTTTATTTAAAAATAAAAATATTATGTTTTTTATTCAAAAATAAATTTGTGTTATTTAAAATGCAGGCAGCTTAAGAAAAACAAATTCTGTTTTATTTATGATATGTATATATTTAATTCAAAGAAAATTCTTTTCATATTGCATATTTTTTCTTATTTTTTGTATATATTTAAATGCGCTCTTATTAGTCCGAATTTTATTATCATTTATTCATAGGTGTACTATATATAATTTTGTTTGCCAAATATAAAAGTTTTAGACTTGTTTATACTTATTTACAAAAAAATACAATAAAATAAATATTTCTTTAATTTTGTATTTTTTACTATGAATAATATTTTTTAAACTATTAATATTTTTTTTAATATTAATAATTTTTATTTTTTAATAATACTTTTATTTTAATTTTTAATACTTTTATCAATTTTTAATACTTTTTTGGTAATTGTTAATACTTTTTTTTAATTTTTTAATAATTTTTTTAATTTAATAATTCTTTTTTAATTTTTTTAATTTAATAATATTTTTTTAATAATTTTTTTGGACTATTAATCCTTTTTTAATTACTTTTTTTTATAGTTTTTAATAATGAATTCTTTTTAATTATTTTAATCATTAATACTTTTTTAATTTTTTATACTTATTTACAAAAAAATAAAATAATTACATTTTCAATAGTTTTTTTATAACTGTTATTAATAAACTCTTTTTAATTATTAATCCTTTTTTTTAAATTATTTTTTTTAGCTATTGATATTTTTATTATTATTACTATTTTTATTATTATTAATATTGTTTTAAATTATTCTTATAGTTTTTCCTTTTGTTATGTATGTATATATTTTAGCAATTTTTAATTTATAAAATCGTTTTTTTAGCATATGATCACGTTACAATTTATGTTATTTAATATAATTATTTTTTATATGAATAATAATAAAAAAAAATTTTTATAAAATATTTTAATTTTTTTTGTATATAATATTTATTTTAAGTTATTTTATTTTATTTTTTTTATAAAATAATTTTATTATATTTTGTAAAGTATTTTTTATATTTGTATTCATACCACTGCTTAATACATTTATACATTAAAATGAAATTTTTTATTTATTTGTACTATTTTTCATAACCGATTATTTTAGCATATGATCACATTATATTTTATGTTATCTAATGTAATTTAATAATTTTTAATTTGAATAATAATTTAATTAATTTTTTTTTATAAAATAATTTTACTATTTTTTATATAATAATTTTTTTTTAAATAGTTATATATTTTTTTTAAATTGTTTTACTTTTTTATTAAATTTAATTTTTTTATAAAATATTATTTTTTTATAAAATTTATTTTTGTTTATAAAATTTATTTTTGTTTATAAAATAGTTTTATTACTTATTTTTGTATAAAATAATTTTATTACTTTTATTACTATAATTTTTTTTAATATAGTAATAATAATCTTTTAATATGTTCATTTGACTTTTCAATTTCTATACAACGTATTCTTGAGCTGTAGTAATAACATTTAAATAGAAAAAAAGATTATGAAATCAAATAGCTTCCAATTAAATAAATGTATATGTATATCTAAACAAGTACAAATAGCGTTAAGTGTTAATATTTATATATGTATTTGTGTATATTTCTGATAAGACTGCGAATGTAACATGCGACGTACAAAGTATGAAATCCAAACAATTTGTGATATATTTATAGTAAATGTTTTTATAAAATACTAGATATATGGTAAAGATTGCTTAAAAAGCTACTAATAAATTGAAAATGTCTCCTAAATCTCTTTCTGTAATTTGTAAGCTAAGAATATTAAACAAACATCGAACGCAATATTTCAATGTTATAAAAAATATTACCGTAGAGACGAGCGGCTTCTCTTTCTCAGTCGCGTTCGGGTAATTAGAGCGACCTACAATTGATCGAACAGAGACATATTACACCCGTTTATTCTACAAAATTGTTCAAAGAATATATTATTCTTCTGCAACAACAATTTCGAGCTGCGTAAAGGACCAAAAGTTTCACACCAGCTGTAATTTTTGTGAAGAGAGGCACTTCGAAGGATTTTTTTGTGCACAAAAAGCACAACATTCACACGCTCCTCCTGCTCGCCACTTGCAGCATACACTCATACCATATTTTTGAACTTATATTATTTTTACTTTCATAAAAGAAAAGTCAAGCGAATAAACACTGTGAGAATAAAACAATAACAAAAAAAATAGTTTTCTTTGCCTTTCAACTTTTTTTAAACGGCTCTTATCGCCGCAGCTGATAATGTATTATAGCTTAGTAAACTACGCGCGTAATAAACAAATGCGACTTAATACAAGTAGTGTATATTAACCAAGTAAGTATTTTCAGTTGAGCACAATTCTGGTTTATTTCGACTTACCAAACCGGGGCCGTTTGTTCGAGTTTCGCATGCTGCCAGAAGACACGTAATTCCTTGAGCAGAAAGGAGACGGGCATGCCGTGTATATTACCAGATTCCGAAGTGTTATGCAGGTTGATATCGGCGTGGGCGTCCACCCAAACCAGCGAGAGATTGGACGTGTGTTGCAAATGTCCGGCAACGGAGCCTAAAAATATATTTACAACAGAGAGAAATGTAATACAAATAAAGTAAAATATTGCAATAAATACGCAACGAAAAGCATAGGAAAAGTCTTCTTAAAGCGGTTAAATTGCAATTAAATGTCTTAATACAATAATAAACGTTTACTGGCGTTATATAGCCGCTTCGTCTGTATTGCCCATTATGCGCCTTAAAGTAGGCAACACTTTTAGCGCACAAACGTGCGTCGTTTTCTGATTTCTGGGTGCCTGGTTGGAATGCGGCATGTCACATTTTAGCGGTGAAAATTGGTTTCTCTCATGCGACCCGAAAATTGCATGCGATTTTTATGGAATTTTCGTTAAGGCTTGCTGCGACCAGAGAATGTTAATAAAATCTGTGCTGCGACTTATGGACGCCTGCTAAAATACGATTTGTGGCGTTTAAAAAACAGAAAATTTTTGTCGCTTGTTAAACAAAAAAATCGCATGCGACTTTTTAACGAACTGGCGTTAAAAGTTTGAAATACAATTAATATTGATGGAAAATGACGAAATTAATTATTTTAATGAAAAGCAAAAACGATTATTTGAATGAAAAGTAAGCCTGAATTGAATATATTTGTGAAATATAGCATTTATTTTTAATTATTGCCGCTGCTCCTTGCTTATATTTAATGCAATTGCTGCTAATATTTTTTTAGTTTATTTCTCAGCTCTTTGTGAGTAAATATAATATTTAATAAAATACTTTGTAATATTAAAAATATGATTATTTATACTTTTATTTTTATTTTCTTTAATATTTTTATTTTTTTCAATATTTTTTTTAAATATTTTTTTTAAATATTTTTATTTTTTGAAATCCTTTTTTTATTATTTTTAATATATTCGAATATTTATATATATGTATATGCATTTTTTTTTTAATTATTTGCTATTTTTATTTTATTTTAATTAGCCGTTAACTTTTAATTTTTATAATTTTTGTATATTATATATTTATATATAACACCTACAAACTGGTATTCATAAATCTGTATTTTTTTTTTGAATTTTGCTTACCAAAACCAATTGCATGATCGCCACCGATCGTCAGGAACTGATCGTTCTCCTGCAACAGCTGCTGCACTTTGCGGATCAGCGCCTTGTTGCAGCCCATAAATTCGCCATAATTTTTAATTTTACTATATTCCGGCGCCTCCGTTGGTATGGGGTCCACATCGAATTGCAGATCGCCATAGTCGTGCACCTCTAGTTGGCCTGTCGTGATGGAAATTGATTACACTCAACCACAAGCACACACACTTTTATGTAAAACTGTACAACAAACAAAAGATGTTGGTAGTTGACTGCTTACCGTAGGACACTTGTTCGAGCAACGGCACTAGCCCATGCTCGCGCAGCAACGCAGGCGCTTTCTCCACACCGCCCTTACCCTGACCTTTCGAAAAGGGCACACCAATTATGCCTAGACGCGCTTTCGCATCGCCCTCGGCGTTGCTGGCGCCGCTGCTGTAACGGCAGCGCGAATGCTTCAATTGGCACGTGACGCGTGTGGCGCTACGTCTCAACATGACACTGGCGCGGTTTCACTTAGAAAGTTTAGTTATGCGAAAAGACTTAAGGAATTGAGGCCGCACTTTTCACTTGCGCTTTTCTGCGACACAAACTGTTGTCGAAAAGACGGCGCGCACTCGAAGAAAAGTCGAAAAATCGCGATGAACTTTTATTTTCTAGTTTCTGCCACTTTTTTTCTCTTGAAAAGTGAAAAATATCACTGATAACAAGTCGAACGCGCTGTATTTTGTTTACTAGAATCAGTTTAACGGCACTTGGGGTGGTAAGTACTTAAGTTACCGCGCGTTTTTCTGGCGTTTCAAAGCGTTTTTCTACTTTTCTACTTTTGTGCATTTATTAATTTTATTATTTTAGATTTTTGGCTTTTTGTACACAAACAATATTATTTACGATAGTGAGCAAAATGGCAAGACAACAAAGTTGAGTGTTGCTGACTACAATAATCACGAAACGGCCGATTAGTGTGACAAACCGTACGCGAATGGCGCGAGTAGTAAGCGCCGTGTGTCGTAGAATCTGCCAAAGCGAAGCTGCTACTCGAAAGGCAGTTATCTAACGCAAGTGAAGCGAAAAAGAAAACGCTCGAGCACGAGAGCGCTGATAACCTTTGAACGCAAAACACAAAACTAATGTCCAACGGATGAAACATCTAGGATGCTGTTGTGCTAATAAATATACATATGTATGTTTAAATATTTTAGTGTAGGTGTGCGTGTGTTTTGTACCAGGAAATGTAAGTTTAAAAACAATGTATAGAATATATATGTATGTAGGTATATTTTCTAAATTATCGCTACAAGGGGAGTGCTTCAAGAGTTCACCTCACTTTGCCTCCTTAGTAACAAAAAATTGCACTGAAATATATTTTTGTAAACGGATGTTCTAATTATTTTTAATTTTTCATTTTTTTTTTAATTTCCTCATTATTTTTTAATCTACATTTTTTTTAATTACTAAATTTTTTTAAGTCCTAAATTTTTTTAAGTCCTTAATTTTTTTAGTTCCCAAAACTTGTTTTTAATTCCTTAATTTTTTTTTTTAATTTCCTCAATTTTTTTTAATTATTAAGTTTTTTTAAGTCCTCAATTTTTTTAATTCCGAAATTTGTTTTTAATTCCTTACTTTTTTTTTTTAATTTTCCAAATTTTTTTTAAGTCCTGATTTTTTTTAATTCATACTTTTTTTTAATTCCTAATTTTTTTATTTGTTATTTTTTTTTTAATACCTAATAGTTTTTTTATTCCTTAATATTTTTTTAATATTCAAAGTTTTTTTTAAGTCCTCAATTTTTTTTAATTCCTCATTTTTTTTTTAATTTCCTCAATTTTTTTAAGTCTTTAATTTACTTTAATCCCTAAAATTTTTGTTTACGTACTTAATTTTTTTTAATTTCAATTATTAATAACATTTATTTAATAAATAATTTTTTTAATTCAATTTCTTTTCATTCCGAAATTTTTTTTTTTAATACTTTAATTTTATTTAATTTCCTTATTATGCTATAAACTTTTGTTTATTATAAACTTTAGTTTTTTTATAAACTTTTTTTTTTTAACTTTTGTTTTTTGATAAACTTTTGCTTTAGTAAACAAAAAATTCTTTAATTAGCAAATTTGGTTGCAAATTGTTTAAATGTTTCACTTTTCAACAACTTCCGCACGGCATACGAGTATGTATAAGCGTTTAATTCGCCTTATTTATTATTTTGTAACTTGTTTACACTTTCTAAAAATATTATTTCAATATTTCGTTTTTCTCTATCAATTATTTGCTTTACTTCCCATCACTTGTCATTTAGTTGCTAATCTCTCAAGTAACACATGCAAAACCACATACATGCACATACACATGCGCAAAGCGTCCTCAGAAATTTAAGAAATAACATTGACGCTGTTATCTCAGCGAATACATTCAAAACAAAGTGCATACACACTCAGACAAAAGTCTAATTTCAATAAAAAAAAATATTAAAAAAAAACTTCCAGCTTTTTGAACGCACATGTGCGTGTGCAATTTTTTTCTAATGATCTTTCTAAATATTATAGTTTTTTTATTCGAAAAAAAAAGAAAGAAAACAAGAGAACACATTAACTTCGGTTGCACCAAAGCTATAATACCCCTCACAAACACAAAAGTTCCTTACAAAAACTTGATTCCGATCGTTCAATTTGTATGACAGCTATTCGCTTTAGTGATCCGGGCCGAACAATTTGTTCGGAGATTGTAAAGTTGGGCAATAATCCATGCCAAATTTCGTGACGATATCTTGTCCAATCAACAAACAGTTGTATCCTATAGTGTTTTCGATATCGGCGGTTCCGATAATTAAGCTGCTCAATTGTCGGAATCGCTGATGTGTGGACGTGTGCGAAATTTCGGATCGATATCTCATAAAAAAGCATTAAAATTTAAATCCAAATATATTTCAAACCTTTTTAATCTTTAATATGTCTTTTTTAAAAATTAATATATTTTTTAAATATTTTAATTTTTTTTAATATTTTAATTTTTTTTTAATTTAAACTTTTAAATATTTTAATATTACGGTTTTTTAATATTAAATATTTTTTTTTAATATTAAAAATTTTGTTTTTTCTATATAAATTTTTTTTAATAATTAAATATTTTTTTATTTTTTTATCTGTTTCCTTCCACTTGTTTAATATGTTGCGAAATTAATTCCAGTTATTTTTTATTTCATATGCGTAAATTTTATTAAAATATTTTAAAAAAAAGTAAGAAATAATAAAATAATAAAATTTTTTTTAATATATTTTTTTTTTAAATTTAGATATTTTTTTTAATATTAAAAATTTGGTTTTTAATATATTAAGTTTTTTTAAGATTAAAAAACTTTTTTTTTTAATTAAATATTGTTTTTTGTTTTTTTTTTAACTGTTTCCTTCCACTTCGTTAATATGTTGAGAAATTAATTCCAGTTATTTTTTATTTATAAATACATATGCGTCAATTTTATTAAAATATTTTGAATAAAAAATAATAGTTAAATTACAAACTGCAGAATATTGAGTTGGCTAAAATATCGCTCGTGTGCACATGATCATGAGCACACATACATATGTACATATATACTTAAATTTAACGTTTTTAAACTCTAAAGAGCAGGCGCGCTTCTTTTAAAGCAAATACATCTTTTTTAAAAGCCTGCTCATTGTAAAATGCATAGCTGTCAGCTGTTTTCATGTCTTGCCAGGCGTGCGCGTGTGTGTATGATTACATTTGTATATTATTTATGTTGATTTATATTTTCGCTTTTGTTAAAAAATTTGCTTTTTCTTAATGTATTGCACAGTTTTGGTATTCAACACGCTCTACTCATGGTTATATGATATAAATTATATTATTTGTGTATATATTGTATATATTTATTTTTAATTTTTCATGAGTACCATAGAAAGCTACAAACTACTAAAATGTGTGTGTTTCTCTTTATAAATACATACTAACATAAACAACCTCTTTAAAAATGTATGCATGGTTAAAGAAAAGTTTCATGAAAAAAAATACAAACTTTGTGGAATGTTTGCTTCACTGGATATGATTAGAATAGTTATTAAAGAAAATTATAAAATTCTACCAACATTATTTTTTTGCAATGGAAATTTAACTTATTTTTAATTAATTAATATTTTTAATGCATTTTGTAAAAACAAATGTTGCAGTTTAAACTTAAAGTTTTTAAAATACTAAAAAATTATATATTTTAATAATTTTTAATATGTTTTAACAATTGAAATTTTCAAATTTTTTCTAGCTGCCCAATTTATAAAAAAACTGCAAAGATATATGTATGTATATAAATTAAATGTAATTTTTTTGCAAAAAAATTATATTTTTAAACGATTTTTTGTGTTCAAAAGTTGCGGTTAATTAAAAAAAAATAAAATAAATATAAATAACAAAAAAATAATAAAATAAGAGTTGAAGTTAATTGTAAAAAACAAAAATTATATATTGAAATTTTTTAAATCTTTGCTGCCAAATTTTACAAAAAAACAAAAAAAATGCAAAAATATGTACTTATAGAAATTAAATTTAACTTTTTGCCAAAAATAATATTTTTAATGACTTTTTTATGCTCAAAAGTTGTGGTTAATTGTAAAAAAATAATACATCAAAAGCTAATTTTAAAATACCAAAAAATTAAGTATTTTAACAATTGACATTTTTTTTAATTTTTTCAAGCTGCCAAATTTATGAAAAAAAATGATGCAAAGATATAAATATGTATATAAAGTAAATGTCAAAGTAGTTAATGCATTAATAGTTTAATATAGTTAATTGTAAAATATCAAAAAAAATATATATATATGCATACATATATTTGAATAATTTTCTAATATAAATTTTAAAAAAAATTTTTCAAGCTGCTAAATTTACAAAAAGAAAATGCAAAATATATAATACTTAAATTTAGTTTTCGCACAAAAAAATATCAAAAACATATCGAATGTTTTTTTTTAATAATTTATAATTTTTTTAGTATATGTAGATATGTACATATATACCTTTTTCTTTAATTTTAGCTGCCAAACAAAAAAGAAAATAACTTTTAAATTTCACAGAAACAAAAACAAAAAATAAAAACTGGACACCATAAGTTTTCATTACTTTCTCATAAATTTCATTATTGCTAATAAAACGTTCGCGCGTGTAAAAATTGTTAGCATGCACAGTATATAACATTTTAAATTCAGTTTATCTCAAAGACTTCGAAGCAACTTTGGCAAATGCGTAACTAAATTTTGAAAAAACTTCAGCGTGTTTGCACAAAATTTTATGTGCGCGGCGTTAACTTTATAATTTATTAATACATATCAATTGATTTTTTAATTTACCGTCAGTCTTTTTTGGTAAATGTTTTTATATACATTGCATGTTGCTACAATTTTTCGAAATATGAAAGCACAAGCAGGTTTACTTTTTTTTACAACAGCGAAATTACCGTAAGTGTACATTGACAATAAAGCTGATTTTTTTTAATAAAAATTTCAATGTTAACTTTTCGTTGAGATTCGGTTGCAGAGGTTGGCAGTTACAATTATTGATATTTAAATATTTTTCTTTTACATATGTATGTGTTTGTTGTATATTTTTGCACAATTTAACATATTAGTTAAAATATTAGTATAATATCATTTGAAATTTTAGTATTCAAAAATAAATTATTTGTAAAATTTTAGAAATATATAAAATTTTAGAATACATTTTGCTAATTTGCGTAATTACTTAAATTATTTGTTTTTAATATTCACTGTATTATTGTATTAATTAAAAATTTTTACTTTTCGCTTATTTGCTTGATTAAATTTTATGTGCAATAATTTTTCAAAATTTCGCAAATATTAAAATTTGTATATAAAATGTATGTTATAATTTAGCAAGTAAATCAGAGTTAGTACATGCTTAATCTTAAACTATGCTGCCACTGTTGTTTGTTGTCTTTACGCCTTGAACTAATTGCTATTAGCATGTTGTTTTGTGGTTGTTGTTGTGTTTTCGTTATTTCCTTTATTGATCACAGTTTATTTTCGTTTATCCAACATGACAACCTCTTCGCCGCTATCCTCATTGAAATCATTACGAAAATCGTCGTCATCGTCCTCGTCATCGCTGTGCACCATTTCGAGTCCTTCGACGTCATAGTAAGGCTTTATGGACATGCTCTCTGTGGAAACGAAAGAAAATCGCTATTGTTTATTTATTTTTAATTTTTGTTTATTAGAAACTCACTTTTGATGGGTGAGCGGAAGAGCTCTGTTTCGCCATCGTCACCATCATCCTCGAACAGTTCTTTCCCCTTCTGCGGCAGCAGCGAGAAGCTGTAGTAGCGTTTGTCAGCGCGATGCCGACGAGCCAACAAGAACTGCACGCACAAGAAGCAGAGAATCATGGCGACAATAATAATGATGCTGGCGAACAAGATGAACAGCCAACGTGGCATGCCCCACACATGTTCGTCGACACTCAGACGGAAAATGACGCCGCGCACAGCGCCACCTTCCACATGCACCGCGCGCTCAGTGCTCACATGACGCGGCGCCTCCACCTTCAGCGTGATCTCGCCCAGCGGCACACCGCCTATGCTATAGGCGCCCAAACTGTCGGTGAAATTGCGCAGATAGTTGCGCGTGTGTGGCGCCACGACCGAAACCTTTGCATGCTTCACCGGATGATTGGTGGTGTCTAGCACGAAGCCGGAGATGGTCGCTGTCTGCGCGTTTAGTGCGGTTGCACTGCCCACATTGTTGCCGCCCAAGCGATGTACCTCGCTCACGCCGGTGAGCAGCGTAAAGGCGTTCAATTTCACCACGCCTATATTGTTGAGCTGTTGCGCTGCGATTAGCACACGTTTCACCTCGGACTCATAGTGCGGTGCGCTAATTTCTAAAGCATATTCGCCAGGCGGCAAAATGATTTGGAAACGTGCCGCATTGCGTGTAACGTTATAGACGTGGTGATGATCGATGAGACGCACGAAAGCGTTGCGTAGCGGCTCGCCTTTGTCATTGTGCACCAGACCTTCAACGCCGGTTTCGATGAGACGCAGAAAGTTTTTAATTTTGTCGATATTTTTGCGCCAAATGCCGGCGATCTCCGTTTGTACGGGCATACGACAGCAGGAGAGCCCCATACTGAAGAGCGGTATGTTGTACATTTTGTAGAGCAGATTAGTAAGTCGTTCGGTTGTGGCTTGATGCAGTGAACGTGTGCTGGTGAGCGGACACTGATGTGGCGGTGCGCTGAATTCGCTGTCTTTAATGGAATGTGCGAGCTTCTCGATAATAGGTTCGCCTTTGGGATAACTGTTGCATGGAGAAAGAGTGAAGTTACCATTTTGTATATATGTAGTTTATTTTGAAGTGGCTTACGTCAAATCTGAATTGCCAGCAGTGAAGGTTAACACCAGATCGAAGCGTTCGCTATCCAAAAACTGCAAAAGCAAATCGCGTTTCTTCTCCGTTTCGGGACTGAGCAAACGATCGGCTAACTCATTACCCAGTTCGGGATCGCAGAGCGAGTTACTGTAAAGTTAGAGAGAAAGCGACAATAAGATAGCATGTAACTGTCAAATCTATGTCACTTGTCATACGCACTTTCTGTTATACATATTGAAGATTATATCGTAGTTATCAGTTAACGGTAACAAGTAAAGCACGCTCTTTTGCAGCAAGTTCAAGGTGCTGGTGTCGCGTATTTTGTAGCCCTCACGTATGTGACGCGCTATATTCATAGTGATTTCACGACCCAGCGGCGAGGTGCTGTCGAAGAAGGAGCTGAGTATGAGAATTTTATATTTTGCCTCCTCAGGCTCACCGATCTGCAAGCGTTATTTAAAAATGAATTAAAGAAAAAACCCCGGTTACAAGCAATACTTACATCGGCTGTCAGTTTAATAGAGTTATAGTAGATACCGAATTCGCTCTCCGCATAGCCAAAGGTCGCAATCTGCCCACTGCGCGTTTCGAACTCAGCTAAACGTTGTCGAATCTCTGGATTGCTGTGGTAGCGCGTCTTCACCACATTCTCAATCACACGGAAATCATTGGCTGACGACCAATGCTGCGGATCGTCGCGCATCAAGATTACATCCAGGCGCATCTCACGTGTGTCTGCTGGTATTTCGATCTCCTCACGATATGGCGCAAAACTGTGCGACAGAGAAAAGTTCAAATAAACACATTTTACCCGCGCTCTAGTGCCCACCCTAGTCTACTCACCCATCGCCAAGTATTGTTATGTTGTGTCTGCCTGGTAAGGCCAGCTTCCAGTAATCACCATTGACACCACTGAAACTGGCATGTTTGGCGCCATCTAGTCGAACTGCCGCACCCGCTATAGCCGAGCCGATAGAACTGCGAACCGTGCCATGCACGGCGTAGTGTACTTGCTCGATAAATTTCAGCAGTGGCTCGCGGTTGTCGTGCCAATAATTTGCCAACTCATCGACCATTGGAAACTTGTCGCAGCCCAACTCGAGCGTCAGTTCCAATACGCCGGCGCGTATATAATTCCAATCCTGCATGCCGCCCGTCACGCTATACCACTGGGCGCCATTCACAATGCCATTAGGAAAATGTTCGTGTTTGAAGAGCGGACATGGATTGCCGAGATGCATTGTGGGATGAGCCTAGAAAGCAATAATTGAATAAAACTAAAAACAAGCGCTCCGAAAACACGGATGGGCGTTGGAAAGCTTAAGGATTTGCTTTCAAATTTTCATGTAAAACTTTAAAGCTACGCTGCTTACACTTACCTCCGCGTACACCGAAGCCAAATGTTTAAATAACTCGTTGTCCTCCGTGGGGTTAAGCTTTCGACCCATTGTCGTTGCCGTCCGTAGACGAGCAATTGGATCGTTAAAATCATTTTCATTGTCGTCGAATGGATAATTGGCCACTAATGAGCCGCCATGTAGATTCGCCGACAACACAAACGGTAGCGAAAGCGTCCAATGCATGACAGCAGACACCTCCGGTTCGGTCACCGCATTATACTTGTCTGTGCCGTATTGATCGGGGAAGTTACGGTTCAAATCGATATTATTCGCATTCTCACGCCCGTTGCCGCTTGATTTATCACCCTCGTGTGATATTTCATAGCCATCGGGATTCATGCTGTAGAGGAAATGCATTCGTGTAGTGTTTACCAACTTCGAAATGCGTTCGTCGACACCGTATCGCTCGCATATATACTTTGTGAGCAGTAATAACATCTCTTTGCCCACCACTTCGTTGCCATGCATATTGGCGACATATTTAAACTCCGGTACGCCGGCTATATGTTGACCCGGTGAGACGAATAGCTCCATGACCCAGAGATCACGTTGCTGCACACTCTTACCGATCGAATAAAGACGCGTTATGCTGGGGTATGACTCGGCAATGTTGCGTAAATATCTAGTGGGAGTTATTAAATTGATCAACTTATTTTTAGGAAGCTTTTGGAGAACCCAAAGTGGAATTACTAAACTTTCAGGTTTCTAAAACAGGAAGCTTTTGGAGAACCCAAACAATTGTGCTATGAGTAAAAGTGGAATTACTAAGCTTTCAGGTTTTTAAAACAGGAAATTAAACTTTCATAATGGTCTGCAACGCTACATTGAAAGCTGCGGTGGCCACAAATGAAAGCTTGGGTGAACTGTCTTACGCAAATTATTAATTCACTCAAAAAATTTGGCTATTAGTAAAAAGCTCACACGTATGTGTGATATTCTCTGCACCTGTGTTGCCACTTATATTTTCATGAAAGATCTGATGCATGTACAACAAAAGCTATAAGCTTCACAAAAGTTCGTTAACGAAATCGGTTTGGTTTTTCAATTTCAGATGATCCAGTTCAGAGATATAGTGGTCACCGCAATACGTCTGCTTTGAGAGGAGCTCCCGAAGATCAGCTGTAGTTCTATTCCAAATAAATATTTTTACTAGTACCAAGTCTTAAAATATACTTCAAAGATACCATAATATGTGTATAAATTTTTGGATCAATAAATTTAAAAGTTTTCTCCGAAAAACTTTTGGAAAATTCACTTTTTTTTTACCTTCTAACTGTATATAACCGCTTAAACATTTTCATAAATATGAGTTATTCAAGTAAATGGCAATAACAAGATCTTTTATGATATTTAGCTTAAAGCTTTAAAGGGCTAGTACTAGTATGAGCCTTAAAAATCTGTAGGTACAGCAATCCTTAAGCATTGTTTGCTACTTTCATGCTAATACTTACCATATTGTCGAAAGCTTTTAAAATCTTATGTATATTTTAATTTACATTAAATTGAAACAAAATACCTATAATCCCCTATTAGCGTATATGATGCCGTTGATCAGTTTCGTTCAAGCATAGTTGCGATTTCAAAACGCTTGGATTAAAAGCTTTGAAAAGCTTTGTTAGTTATAAATTATATATTAAACTTTCGCACGATTTCCAGTTGTTTCGCTTGTAAGATTTTCTTACTTCTCAACCGTTTGGGTTCAAAAGCTTAAAAATACATGTTTTTTAATACAAACTTTTCCATTTCCGTAAAGTTGTGATGCTCGAATTTGGTGGGCGTCAGGAAATCGTCGTCATTCGTTGGCGCTTTGGACCGTTCCACTTTCACCTTGCGGAAATCACCTAAAAGAGATTAGTAGAACAAATGTAGATGATGAAGAAGAAAGTAAATAAAATAGAAATAAAGTAAATAATGTTATGATGTTCGGTTTGCGCGAATATGATGGTGTATGAGAGATGTTTAAAAATAAATGCAAAATTATGTTGGAAAAAATATATAAAAATAAACAAAAAATAAAAAAATTAAACAAAAAAGAAATAATAATAAAATGAACGAAAAAATAACCAAAAATATAAAAACAAAAAAAAATAATAATAATTACACAAACAAAAAGCTTGCAAATAAACCAAAACATGATATTTAAATAGAAGAATATAAAATTAAATGGATGCTAAGAAATAAAAATTAAAAATTATAATTAAATAAATAAATAAAAAATTTATTTATATATGCAAAATTATGTTAAAAAAATATATATACATATACAAAAAAAAAATTAAAAAAATAAAATGAAACAAAAAAATTAACAAAAAATAAACAAACAAAAAAAAAAATAACACAAAAAAGAAAAAGCTTGCAATCAAACCGAAACATGATATTTAAATAGAAGAATATAAAATTAAATGGATGCTAAGAAATAAAAGTAAAAAATTATAATAAAATAAAATAAAAACATGATATTTAATTGAAGACTATAAAATTCAATAAATTCTAAAAAAAATAATATACAAAATTATAATAAAATAAATACAACATGCATGATTTTTTTGCGGAATAAATTATTAATGTGGCATATAATTAAATAAATGTGCAATTGGCCACCACTTGGTAATAAATAGAAACAAAATAAAATTTCAATACGGAAAGAAATATTCTATTACAAGGATATAAGGATTATGCAATTTTAATTTGAAAAAAAATGTTTAAAAATTGGTATTTAGTTGAAATTAAACAATTTTGCAAAATTTTACCACAAGAAAAAAGGACAGACTATTACTACTAAGCAGTGGCTTTTGGTGGATGTGCTAGTGTTGAATTAGTAAAAAGCGCATGAACAATGCAATATTTTGTAGTAAAATACCCTCAGCTCACACTATATGCCTTTAAATAAAAGAAATCGTCAAACTTTGCTGGATTTCCCAGCTGCCGTTAATTATATTTATTTTCTGTTAAAACTTAAATGCGATTAATTTGTGCATAGTAGCAGAGTTGCCGTACTTTATTGATATTTTGGTTTGTATTTAATCGCTACTTTGTGAATATTCTAATTAAAATTGCTTATTCTAGGTATTTTGAGACTATTTCCACTTTTGAATTAGTTAATAATTATAATAGTGTATAATTTAAATACATATGCTATATATTTCCACTCATTAGCGATATTTTCATTTAAAATATTTTAATAAATGTGCGCTAATGTTAACCCGTTTAGGTAAAGCCTAGTTGGTTAATACTTTAGTTATATATAAATAAATAAATAATGTATGCATAATGTATGAATTCATAATATAACTTATATAAAAACTAATTTTATTATATTAATATTAAAGTGATTTACTTCTTCAACAATATGTAGTTTTAACTTGAGTAGAATAAAGAGATTTAAAATCACTTTAGAAAGCTAAGTGAAAGCTCGAAAACTAAAACTTCTTCTCTTGTCGCCAAACACGAAACAATTCCGCTTAATGGACGGTAATTTTTCATTAAACTAACAACTTCAATAACCAGCAATGGAATTATCAACGTTATGTTATATTCTTGGAATGATATAAAATATTCCTTCTTGAAGCAACCAGTTCGGTTCGGCATAATTACCACTGCAGACTTTGAATAGGTGTTAATAGCAGCTACCTTTCACTGACTTATTATTAAAATTATCAGAGATAACATAGAATTGGTTGTACATTAGCTGATATAAAAACGTTTTCCAATTTCAAGCTTAAAGTTGCCATTTTAAGTTGAAAGCTTTAGAAAGCAGTTACTTATGTATGTATATCTTTCTTAATAAAAAAAAATGTCTAAAAAAGCTATAATCATTATAGCTAAAAATCTAAGTGAAAGCTTAGAACATTTTATAGCATGTGGAAGCTTTCAAAAGCTCTGTAGCTTATGTGAAAATTTCAAAATCATAAAATTGTCAAAAAAACCTGTGCACGCTGTTATAGCAAAAACGAAAGCTCGCCACGGCGCGTGAAAGCTCAGCGCTAACAAACGTTGTGGTAATAGTTTAGTAGACAAAATGTAACAAATCACAACTAAATTTTTTGCTACACATATAGCCGATTGAAAGCTTATGAAATTTATATTGAATGCTGTTAGATAAATTTCAAATGTTTTATTTTTTAATTTTTTTATGTGTACTTAATTGTATATAATATATATGTTTGTATATGAACTCGTATTTATAAGCGATAATTAGTTATAAATAAAATATATTTTATGTAGTGCATAATAAATAATTGGACACGAAACAGGTTTTTATATTTTATTTATTCCTCACATACACACATTGATAATAACAATAACAGTGATTAAATATACATACATTTAATATAAGTACGTGGGTTTATTTCTTATTACTTTATATTTATTTCGTTTTATTTTTTTTTTATAGTAAATGAACTTTCCTTTATCGTATGCCAATTCAATATGCATAACGACATATATGTATATAATTTCATACGCGTATTTACTATTTAAATATGTATTGTATATAGGGAGCTATGAAATGCTTAACGCGTAATATTAGATAAGGAAAATCATACAAGGACACTGTGCAATGCGTTTTGTTCATTAATGTGGAAAGCCAATTGCATATGAGATTAATGTAAATATGTGAAAATGAAAGCTCTGCAGCATGACACTATTTAGAATGTGCAGTGCACGTGAATGTGTGGGTGAGTAGGGTGGTGCAGTTGTGCTTCTACATGTGTCTTAAGTTCATTGTGAAAGTTTGGATGAGTGATGAAAGCTTAGGTGAAAGTTTGCAAACTACATGCGTGAAACAATTCATAATAAAAATTCGAGTAGTTGTTAGCATTAGTAGAGAGTTTACAAGTAATGAGTGTGATAAATGTGCGTTGAAGTGAGATTGTATGTAAAACAAAAGCTCGCGCAAAAGCTTTAAACATGTTAAGCTTAAACATTTTGTACTTTTCAGTTACATTGGCAAAAATACACTTGCTTCAAATGCATAGCAACACTCGTTGCTGCTAAAAGAGTTATATATATTGTTTTCCAGCAAATTGCGAACTTTTGCAATACATTTTTGCACTCACATGCGCTAATAAATCACAGTATTGAAAGTAGATATGAAAAGCGTGTAAAGTAACAAGCATAGTGTAAACCGAACAATGGAAACTTGTGATAACCACAACTGAGCGATTGTAACGCAGCTGAGGGATACACGCTTTAATGTCTAAAGAAATATTGGCCGTAAAAACCGCTTATACCATCGTAATTCGTCTCGAGCGGCGACAGTGTGAAGTCGAGGCGCAATGCCTCGCTATTCTCGTTGGTCACGTGCACCTGTTTCGGCTCACTGGGCTGGTAGCTGCAGCAGCAAAAGCGTTGCGGCACACAAAGCATCGATAGAAGAAAGAAATGAAACATGAAAAGTATTAAAAGTTTGCATAAAGTTATCATATTTTCGCACATTTGCAAGCACACGCCAACACACAACAGCTACACTATTTGTCAAACATTCCAAAGCACATTCATCCACTTTCCCTTTGCTTCGTCCACCACTTACTTACCCAAATGCCAATGCCTGCACATTGTATATGCCGGGTGTGAGCAGACGCCAGTATTCGCCGCGTTTTGTGGTGCGTATCGGCTTATCCTCCAGCCCGGAGACCACAACGCTTGCATCAGTGATTGGATAACCACTAGCGTCCGTTACCAGGCCTTTAACGCCGACATGTGCCAGCTTCAGCAGCTGCAGTAGACTGCGCTTGTTGCGCGCCCATTCGGCGGGCAGCGTGGCGGCAGTTGGAAATTTGCAACACGACAACTCAATGGTCATTTCGAAGCAGTTGGTGAAGGCGTAATTGAAATCTTGCATGCCACCGTTCAACTCATACCAGTGGGCGCCATTTGTTATGCCATCGGTGAAGGTGTCATTGCAGCTGTGACCCTGACGCATGAGCGGATGATTGTTGGCATAGGTGTGAGCCATTAGCTTAAATACGCGATCGTCCGGTGTGAGACTCTCTTCGCAACATTCATGATGGGCGCTGGTGATGCAAACAGACATATGCATATATATATATGGGTTTTTTAGAGGAGGTAAAAAATGTGTGTGGCGGAGAAACACTCTCACAAAACTCGAACCAATATTGAGAGTGATAAAATAGTAATTGTAGTACAATTTTTTTTAGAACTACTTTTAAGTATTAATTAAAAATTATATGCCTAAAATTTAAAATAATTAAAAAAAAAATATAAAAAAATTTAAAATTTAAAAAGAAATTAAAAAAAATGAAATAAATAAAAAATTTAAGAAAAAAACAATTTTAATTTGAAAAGTTAATAAACTTAACTACATAATTACACATATTATATACAAATGTAAATACATAAAAATTAAAAAACTTTAAAAAAACTTAGAGAAAAAAAACCAGTTCAATTTAAAAAACTAATAAACTTAACTGCATGATTATAGATTATTTATACATATTTACATTTGTAAAATGCAAATATGCAAAAATTAAAAAAAAAATTTTTTTAATCAAAAAAAAAATAATTTTAAAATAAATAAATATAAAAAAAAAATTTAAAAAAAAAATTTAAGAAAAAAAAATTTAAGAAAACGAAAAATTTTAATTTAAAAAATTAATAATATTAACATGATTATAGATATTTTACACAAATTTACCTTTGTAAAATGTAAATACATAAAAATAAAAAAAAAATTAATTTAAAAAAAATTAAAGAAAAAAAAACAATTTTAATTTTAAAATTAATAAAATTAGCTACATAATTATAGATATTTTATACAAATCTATATTTGTAAAATGTTAATTAAAAAATTTAAAAACTAAACCAATAAATAAAAAATTTAATTTAATTTAAAAAAATAATAAATTTACGTTAAAAAAAATTAAATGAAATAAAAGATTACTAAATAAAAATATGTTGTGAAATAAAAAAAACACAGTTTTTTAAATTTTTTATAAAATTCTTAGCATAATTGTGCATAATTAAATTAAATAAAAAAATAAATATATTAAAACATGAAATATATATAAAAAACAAACATTTTCATTAAAAACTAAAAATATCATAATTTAATAAAAACAAAATCACTAAATAATAAAAAATTTAATTTTATTAAAAAATTCACAAAAAATTTATCAAAATCTAAACTTTATGATTTTTTAATATAAAATGTGCCTGATGTTAGTAAAAACATAAACTCAAATTCGCTGCCAAATATAAATATATGCCGTATTTTTTAAGTGCTTTAGGAGATTCATATTTAAAAAATTTACTTTTGTTTCAAATTTAAAAAAAAAATTGATTTTTGTTTATTCATATATATATATCGAATTTACATATATTTGAGAATATGATTTGAAAATTTGAAGTTGATCCGGCAAGCAGTTTTGAACTTGGCTACCAAAACGCGTTTTTCTCAAAGCGCTGTTTTCAGCGTCGGCTGTTAAGAAAAAAAAAAACACATTGCATAATTGTTTATGGCTGTAAGTAATTACTATCCCGCGAGATATGCAATATATTTAAATAAGTATATATAACTAAAACCCATCACCAAAAGCGTTCGTGTTAAAGAGAATGTTCCGTTTTCGGTGCAGCTTAAGCTTGCGGCTGGACTCACAAGCGCGTTCGTGTGTTTGTGCGCGCGTTTATGAATATTTACATACACACACTGCGGTTATACGTTACGGTAATCCTTTCACTTTTCGTCATGTATCCTCCAACAGACAGTAACAATATAGTATATATGTATATATGTATGTACATCTACGGATATGTTTGTATATATTTTAGCGCATACGTAATACGTGAATTTTGCACTGTTAACACATAAACCCGCTTGCTTGTGAACCCGTTTGCCCGCTTGCCGCTCACCGCCACACACCCACCACATTCCACACAGCCACGAGCACTTACATTGAATTATCATACGGATAACTCGCCACAATTGCGCCGCCATGGAAATTGGCCGATAAGACAAACGGCTTGCTGAGCACCCAGTTTATGATGGCTGCTGTCTCCGGCTGACGGCGGTGCGAGCGTAATTGGGTGACTTGTTGATTTTCGAGGCGATCGGGAAAGTCGCGATTCAAATCGATGCCAGCTGCGTTGGTGCGGCCAACATAATTCGGAAGTGATTCACAATTACCTTCCTGGAAATACAAGCGGCGCAAGAAGATATAAATAATATACGTAATATGCGCAACAACAACAACAAGTATTTTTTTTGTTTTTGCTAAGTAAAGAAATGACAGATAAGCGCAATCGATAATAGCTGAAAAAAGAAATAAAAAATATTGACATGGAAAAGTGCGAAATTGATAAGGCCAATAGAGCAAAAAAAAAGCGCATTACAACGCGATAAACAGCTGCATACTTGTACATATGTGCGTATAACAAACACACACTTAAGTACACATGGGTAAGCACGTTAAGCGGCTAAAGCCACGATGTGGGTGTCAATTACGCTCAGTTAACAACGACAGCTGTTGCATTATCTGTGCTGAGCGGGGATTTCATTTATATTTTATTTATTTTACCAGTTTTGCCATATGGCAACTTTATCTGGCTACCGCACATACACTTCTATGGCGTGTAGTGGATTTGGTTATTAAATACCGACCGACTTACAAGTATGTTAGTTGACAAATGCACAAAAATGTAGCAACAAAAACGAAACAAAAATAATAACAAAAAATGTACATAAATATTTTTACAAAATGTTTAACGCCATGTGCTGTGTTGCCAGCTATTGTAAGAAGCCCAATCATGCAGCATGCGGTGTACAGCTTGTACTTGACCTTTCCAAGTACATTAGTGCTTGTTATTCAAAGCAATTGGTCGCTTAGGGGTTTTCAGCATAAATTGGCATGCAATGCAGGAAACCGCGGAATGCGTGCGCACAAATGCCTTGTGTAATGTGAGCGCAATAAAATCACATATATGTACATAATGGAGCTAGACGATTAAAATAATATAAATTGAACATATAAGATACATAAAAATTTTAATATAAATAATTTATGCAAGTGGAAATCAAATAAAATTTAAATATAAATAATTTGTGTAAGTGGAAATTAAATAAAATTTGATTATTTTACACAAAAAAAAAATTAAAATAATTTAAAAAATACAAAAAGAAACAAATGCTATGAAATAAAAAAAAATGTATAAATAAAATTCGATTGATTATTTTGTCACTAAAAATATCGTCAGACAAAATATATCGAAGTTAAAATAAAAAAAATATTATTTTTACAATTTAAAAAATCTGTATGATGTTATAAATAAAATTTGATAAAATGTTAGTATTTATTTTTGATTGGTAACACCGGTCGATACGGTTTTTGGGTCTGACTGCTGCTTGTTAAATTTAATTTATACCACAGCAAAAATAAGGAAAATTTTGTATGAAGTTAAAAAAAAAATTATTTTGCAAAAAAAAATTATTATTTTGCAAAAAAAAAATTATTATTTTGCAAAAAAAAAAAATTATTATTTTGTAAAAAAAAAAAAATAAGAAAATCAATGCAATAAAATAATATCAAAAAAAATTATAATTTTAAAAATCTGTGTGATTTTATAAATAAAATTTGATAAAATGTTGGTATTTATTTTTGGTTGGTAACACCGGTCGACAGGATTTTTGGGTTTGACTGCTGCTTGTTAAATTTCATTTTCTAATACACCAAAAAAAAAATGCAAAGATTGTTTTTTTATTAAAGTTTGCTTTTGTAGAAACTTATTACGTATTTCTTTTATGTTCGTATGAGCAAACTTTAAGAGCTAAAAATAAAAATTCCAGTGTTTTTCAATGTCTAGAAGCAGAATTTGAACAGAAACCAAACAAAAAATTTTTTTTGTTGAATGGTGTAATTTTTGAAGCTAATTGCTTTTGATGTATTAAGCTGCTGTCGCATAACCGATTTTTATTTCCATTTCTTATGAGCAGAATTGAAAATCAACATCGCTTGCAAAATAAACCGCTATCTCTTAATCTATGGAACACATATGTATGTATGTGCATATATATTTGTATGTGTGTATGCAAGTGACAATTTAGAAAAAATTTTAAATTGTTAAAAATCGCTCAACATATGTCGACACTTAATTGGCATTTAGTACACCAGACAGACTGTAAATATTGCCACACTTTTGTACGCCACGCATGCGAAATAAAAAAAATAGACAACAACAAAATAATAGCACAGAAGTGCGTGGAATTGTGCCATAAAAAGGCAAAAACTAGCAGTTGTAGTAGTAAGCGCATGCGTACCTTTTTACAACACAAACAAATAATATTTGTGTTTACATGTACTCACGTAGTTAGAAAAAAAAACAAGTGATTACCACCAAAACCGTCGCGTATTAATGGTGTGAATGGCTGTTGTCAAAATGTGTGGTTAACTATGTATAAGATGTACATTTTGGCAATTATTTTAATTTTTTTTTGGGTATGTTATATAATTTGTTTCTTTTTTTTATTTAATTTATAATTTTTTATTTAAAATTTTTTTTATTTTGGTATTGTTATATCTTAAAATATTTTTTTTTTTTGATTATGTAACTATTTTCGCATTATCACTAATTCAAATAATTTGTAATATTATAGTATAAATGTTATATTTACAATTTCAATTTTTCTTAATTTTTTTTTTTTTGAGATTCTCGAAAAATATTAACTATTGTATTATATTTCAATCGCTTTACTAAAGTTAAATAGATGCAAACAAAAATATACTTAAAAAAAATAAAATAAAAGAGTATAAAAATATATTACATATATAAATAAATAAACAACAAATAAATTAAAATTTTATTTTAAAAAAATTTTAATTAAAAATAACGAAATAAAACAATAAAATTAAATTATATATATATCAAATAATAAAAAAAAAAAAATAATAATAAAATAAACAAAATAACTAAATAATAAATTAAAAATTTTAAATAAAACACTGTATACCAAAAATCATTATAACCATAAGGCCAATGAGCGATACAAATACGTGACATTTAATAAATATGTCAGCAATGATAATTTCCATGTCTAAAACATGTATGTATGTACATACGTACATTGTATGTACATATATTAACATACTTATTTATGTGCATAGATATGTTCAAGTGATATAAACAAACTAGTTTATACAGAGAACTATGCATGAGAATGAGTGCAAATTTGAGCTGTAGATTCAACACATGAAAAATATATCAATTGAGAAAAGTATATACTGTATGTAAGTAGCTGCATATAAGCATACTTCAACGCAAGAGGAAATAAGTTTATTTAATGTTTGTTAACTATAATAAAATTTTAAGCAAATATGCGTAAAAACACTTTATAAACAGGCATTCATACAAAAGTGAACAATTGCGTTGTTATAAACGAGTATATGGTAGCCGTTGTTGACGGTGTCGGTGGCGTATGAGTAACCTTAGCATGTGCAAACACGTACAATGTGGCGATTTGTGTGCTTGAATAAAGTTCATTGATTTGTTAATAATATTGTTAATTTTTTTTACTAGTTTCAAAAGTGGCAGCGAGTAAATAAATACACAGCTAAAAGTACTGCGAAATGAGCATATGTACATGTACATGTATACCATTACAGATATCAATTTTACTGAAGAGCTGATTTAATTTTGTATATTCATGCAAACATAAAACTTAAGCTTAAGAAACGCTGCCTCACCGCGTACAATGCGCGCAGAATGAGGATATTTATTTTGAATTTACTTTTGCTGCAGCGAATTGGCGCATTACGGACACTTAGCTCCATTTTTTTATGCATACTTCTATATGAATGGAATGTTGTTTTAACAACAACAAAAAATATCAAACAACACTATCAACGAACGCTAAAACCCAAATATAAATAAAAATGAGTACAAAGCAGTAAATAATGAAACAAGCGTTATGTTTGTAAAAGCGACAACAATGACAACAACAACAACAACAACAGTAAGAAATTTGCACTGTCAGAGTTGTCTTTGAAGGCGAGTGGAAGAACGAAGGCGAATCGTTCAAGCTTAATCGCTTTATATAAACACGCACACACCTACATTTACAAACATACATACGTAATGAGTAACTCAAAGTACAAAAGTTGCCGTCGTAGTCGGCGTCGTGTTATTGCAATGTTACACTCAGGCGGCAGCGATGATAGAAAAAAGCATCAGCAATTGCAGCAATAAAATGAAGCTGCTTATTACGCTCTTATTTCGCATGAATTTAGAGCAATAACAACAAAGAAAAAACGGCGGCAGCAGCTGCAGCAATAAAAACGGCATAAATGTTAGAAGTGAAAAAAAATTGCAAAAATGGTTGTGTTATACACAAATTCTCAATACTTACTTATATACCAAATCATTGCGACTATTATATTTGAAAAAAAAAGGATAAATTCAAATATATGGGTCATTCCATTCAAAATTTACATTCTACAATTTTTTTTGGTGCAATACATTATTTTTTGAGTTCTTTGAGGCAAAATACACGTATTTTGTTAGTACGGCCCATTCCGAAATTTATAAATTAGTAACTAAAAACATTTTTCAATAAAAATAGTAAAAAAATGATTTGTATATAAAATTTAACTTTTTTTCTAAAAAAAAAAAATAACGAATAAATTTAACGTATTTTCCAGTGAAAAGCTAAGAAAAAATCGCCGCCGGCTATTCATTTTTATAATGAAATACATACTTTTTAAATGCTAGTGCTTTATTCGAGCGTTGAAATTTCGAAAATTCATAACCTCAGAATTTTTCATATTGAGTCGAAATAAAAAAACACGTCTCCAATATTTTGCCTCGAAGAAGAAAAAAAATGTTTTGCACGAAAAAAATTTTTGAATAAAAGGACCCATATACAAACATGTAATAAAAAAAATAAGGTAAATAAAAAATTAAATAAAAATTTTTTTTTAAATTTTATAAAAAATATAAAAAAGAATTAAATAAAACTATATAAAAAAAAAAAATACAAATAGTAATATAACAAAAAAAAATTGTATAATTAAATTGTAATGAACATTGAATTCGTAGAAAAATGGCAACACGCGAAATGCTTGCTCATGATTTTTTTTTAATTTTGCAGTTTTTTTGCTTTGTTTCATTTTTGCAACGTGAGAACGCGTCTGCAGCGTGATGCACTGTGATAACGAAATTGAATATAAACTCATAGAAAAATGCTTTTAATTACTTTAGCAGATTTTGTTGCAACAAGCAAAATAATAGTTGAAAATAAAATCAATGCATACAAAATAAATGTAGAAGTAAAACTTTAAGTTATTTTGTATATTTTTTTAAATTGTTTATCAATTAAAATTGTTTGTTAATATTTTATTCAATTATAGTATCCAATTTTGTTGTTTTATTGATTTTTGGTTATTCTTATATTTTTGTGCAGTTAAAATGCTACTATACTTATATATTTATGAATACTTTCTCTATTTCCCGGCAATAAATTTTTGTGAATGACAAATAAAATGCTAAAAATTATAACCAGCCATAAAATACACAATGACAATTATTTGAAAAATAAAAGAACTTTGAGTGCATAACGTCAAAAACAAGTGGACAATAAAAAGGTATACTTTAAAACACTGTAAGCTCCAATGAAAATGCAAATGTCGAAGAAATGCAAATTTTAATAAATAAAATACACAAAATAACCACCCATCAGACCACAAACAACACTCGTAACACTCTAGACACCCACGAGTTGAACAAATTATTAACAGCACACAGGTGAAAACGTGGCTTTAGGTGTACTGTCGCATACAGAGAGACCACAAATTCGCACATATACGAGTACATCATATATAACTATTAGTGTGCATGATTATGCATGATTTTCATGTTTACATTTGACAACACCAGCCAATACGCCTGCTGATAGAGCAACAACAAAGTCGAATAATAATACGTTGAACTACTGATGCGAACTGTTATATAATTAACGTTGATAATAACTTCAATTGTTATGAAAAAAACTGTAATAACTATACAAAAAGCTTGGGCAAGCGTCAGCGAGAATATGGATAAGCGACAGAAAAGCAGAAAAGAAAAAAGTTAATGGAAAAATTGTGTGCACCCACACAGGCACACAGGCGCATGGACTAACAAAGCCTTTTATACATATGTACGTCAAAATATATATTATATATTCAAATGTAAATATTAAAGGCAAGCACTAATCTAAAGTTTCTAACTAATAACGGTGATGCAACAAATACATTTTTCCAATACGTTTCTTTCTATTTAAATAGCTTTTTTCTGCATTAGAAATTAAATAAATATATTTTCTATGTTGCTTTCAAATGAAAATAACAGCGTCACACAACAGCGCCTACGTTGAATGCTATTTATTTTGTTGTTATTATTTTTGTACAACATTATTTTTAGTAACTAACGTGCACAAGCAATTTTCAGTGGTCATAATTTTGCTGTCGTCTGTCTAAGTATGTAATCTAATATTATGTACATAAGTATGTATGTGCTGTGTGGCTAGGCATAGAACTCCACTGTTGTACTATATCGATTTTCCCCAAAATGACTTGCCAACTATCTGTGCTTTGATGAAATATGTATTCAGTAAGCACCTGCTTGAAAAGTGCATATGTTCGCTCAGAGAGGACTAAAAGTATGCAGATTGTTGGAACAAGATGGCAGTTACTCGTTAATATTGCGGAGAAAGATATGAAAAAACATACACATGCATACAATTTAGCTGAGCCGCTGGCAAACAGGTGTTAGAATGGCGTCAGGATATTAAAACACTAATACACAACCATATGTGAGCAAAACCACACGTAATATAACTATGTATATGTAAATATGTGTGTGTGGCTTCAAAAAGTTCGCTACCCTAAGGATTTTCAAGTTGTTTAGCAGAGTATACATACAAAAATAAAGTCAATGCCGAATTGTTGGCATGTTTTAAGCAAAATTGTTACAGCTAAAGTTTGCACTTGGCAGTTTTTAAGGCACAGAAGTGCATTTGCAAGTAGACTCCCAATATACAGCAATTTTAAGAAGATTAAAAATATGTCGTTAGTTATATGTAGTAATGCATACCTGACAACAGTCATTTTGAAGACGTCACAGTAGTGATTTTTCAATAAGACAGCCGCCAATGCAAGCTATTGTCCACAAAAAGAGGGCTCTTATACATTGTCAAAGTATGAATATTTGGAAATATGTACTCATTCATAACGCTAATGTGACGTCATAAGTTTGTCTTCTCAATTTTCAAAATATTGTAGAAAGGTTTTTTACTTTTTCAACATTTAAAAAATAACAAAATATTTTGATTGTGAAAACTCAAAAATCAAATATAAAATAAATTTGTTTATCTAACTGCGCGTTTGCTTTTAGCTAATGCAGTTGTTTGTCTACATCAAGCAGAAAGTGTTAATGAGTTTAGACAATCGTTCTACCATAAATCACCGGCATAACTCGAAAACAACAACAAAAAGCCTAAAAAGCGAATATTAATGTATTCGCGCAATCGTATATCAACAGGTATTCAAACAAAGTAGAATCGCAGCACTCAAAGTAGAGCAATTAGTATGTGCCTGTAGTAAGTGTTAAATGGTAGAGTAAATATCAGAAATATCTAAGTCATTACAACTTTAGAAATATCGGTGGTTTTACTTTTTTAAAGCAAGATAAATTTAGAATGCACGACTTCTTTATTAGTCTGAAAATGATTTAAAAAACGGTCTGTGGCGCAGGCAGTATGGATTGTAGCTACTTTAGTGCAGGTGTCATGCAAAAAGCACAATTCGTAGAAAGCATTTTGCAACAAGACTTTAGGGTTTTGTGGTTTTTGTAGCGGCAGAAAACATCGCTGAAGTAATTTGGAAGAATGCTGCCGATTTGACAGTTCTTGGTCGTATAAAAATGCGGCTTCGTGCTGTTTATAGTTATAACACATCAAATTTTGCGTATTCATCATTGGAGCAGCTTTTGTGAGCTGCTATGAATATAATTTATATGTTTAAATGTTTTTTTAGTTTTTCATTCAAAATTTATCTATGTTTTTTTTTCAGTTATAAATATTTACTTTGATTATAATTATGAATTTATTCAAGACATATATTTCTTTTTATAGTTTTTGTTGTTATTTTTATACCTTATACAGCCTATTTTATATTTATGCTCTTTTAATATTAATTAGTTTTATTGATAATTGTATATATTTTTTCCACTTATAGATTTTGCTTTGATTATAATTGTTAATTTAAAGAGAAATTATAAAAATAATTCTTTTTACAACCGTTATTTTTATTGTTTATACACATTTTTTATATATACATTTTTGTTGTTTTAATAATAATTAGTTTCATATGTTTTCCAAATTTGTTTTATTTTTGCTTTGTGATTTATTGCATGAAAATGTTATTTTATAGATTGTTTTTATTATTATTATTTCACACTCTTCTTATTTTATTACTTTGATTTCTTTAGATTTACATTTTTATTATTATTATTATATGCGAATAATATTTTTTCTATGAAATTTGTTACTCTCGCAACTTTAAAAGACTCTTATTAAAACTTCCCTTTCAGCACCGTTATTTTTATAAATATCAACTGTCATTATTTCAGTTCCCCCCTTTTGATTTAATGCGCTATTTCAAGGCACGTTGAAACAACTACTGTTAATGCAAACCAAACTATATTAAACTTGGAAGTTATGCAAGTGACGTGTTTGGAAATTAAATAACTTGTCCACGAAGCTGCACTCGAAATACATAAATAAGTTTTCTATAAAATAAATCATAAAACTAAACACCGTTTTAAATAACACTTTATAGTCCATGCACAGCGTCGCCATTGACAAAATAAATCAGCGAATAACGCTTGCGAATGCACACGCACATAACAACATGTGGCTTTTTAAAGGTAATTGCAGCATTTTCGCACCTTTCCGCACTTTTCAAGTGTTGTTTATAGTAGATTTTTATTTAAAATCTTTAATATTTCAATATGCTAAACTTTTGCTTTTGTGCACTGCACCACACTTCACTCTTATTCACCTGCGATCGCTCGTAGCCATCTGGATTCATTGTCGGCATCAGATATATATCCGTGGTGTTGACCAGGTTCGCCACCTCCAAGTTAGTCTCATAGTTGTACAGCAGATACTGTGCCAAATAGATGAGCAGCTGGCGGCCAATTGTCTCATCGCCATGCATGTTGCCAATATACTTGACCATGGGCGTGAGCGGTGTGCGTGGTTGCTGCACGTTTCTGCCGATCTGTAAGACCACTAAATTGCGACCCTCCAGCGAACGGCCGATGGTATCGACACGCGCATTCTCCGGGAATGTCTTGGCGAAACGTGCAAACATGTCCTCGATTTCGCCCTGCGTCTGATAGTAGGGCGATTGCAGGAAGGACTCATCATCCTTAATGACAAATGCTTGCGTTAAGGTGGCGCACAGCAGCAAAGACAATGTGAAGGCGAGGAACAGCTGTGGCTGTGGCTGGCGCTGTTGCTGGCGACAGCGTGTGAACATCTTGACGTGAAATTGACAAGTGATGAGCGTTAGTTAAGTAGCTAGCTGGTGGCAGGCGGCTAGTGGCGTTTTATACCGAATTCGTTATTACTGACGCAGCGAGACGCAAGGTTGCACTGCTAGGGCTTTTCGGGACACGATGTGCCTTTTAGCGGTTCGTCGCTCTACGACGCAAACTGGAACGCGTAGGCGTCGAATGGCAAGCGCGTGTGGGCGTTGTGTTGTGTGAGGCGCAAATGGCTCTCCCTAAAAAGTTGGAGTATGTGTCTATTTTTAGTTGCTGCGTATGAAATGTTGCGGGCTCGGCAGGATAATTTCTTTGCTTGCGCACAATCTTTTACTGAAATCCTTTTTGTACGTGCAAATTTAAAGTAATATAATTTCCTAAAAGCTGTGCAGTTCCGTTCTGATCCGCTTAGCATTCAAACGCGTCTTTACCGCTGCAACCGCTTTGTACTAGTTTTCAACAAGCAGCAGTTGTTATCAGCAAAGTATGAAAATTTTTTGCACGACTTTGCTTTTGCGGCGTTTGGCGTGAGAGCGTTCGCTGCAAGCTGCTGGCGTAGCTCCGTAAGCTGAAAATGCTGCTGTAGTGAAGTTTCTCAGCCTGCAATACAGAGTTTTTCAACTGCAGCCTTCAGCTTGTAAATATGTATTTTTCATTTCCCAATTGTGCGTCGTTATAGTTTTCCTTTTTCAGTACTGCTGCACGATTTCCACTCCGTTTCAATATTATTATTAACTTTTTCTTTGTTTTTCAACCACCAACCAGCTGCTGCAGTCTTCGACGGGGGGAAGAGCAACCAATTTTCTAGCGTCAACAAGCGTTTATTTGTTATATCACTGCATTGCTCGCCGCTCGTTTTGCACAAACTGAATGAAAACCAATGACTCGCTGCCGATTTATGCCGTAAATCGTGTGAACTGCTTGTCGGCGTCACCGACACGACTCAGCGGCGGCGGCAAAAGTCAACAATATACAAATAACGCTTCGTTAAATGGCAGTGAGAGGGAGTCAGTACGTGAGCGTGCGCTCTTGGTGTGAAATTTACTTAACCGGCGGTTTAAAAACGGCTCACTCCGCTGTTGCACTCTGTGGCTGTAGAGTCTGTCAAGCGCCACACATAATAAACGCTCGGACAGCAAGTAAGCATAGTTATGTGATGGTATTAGTGAGCTACAGTGCAGCTAGCTTTTCACCAGTTCAAGTCAACTTTTAAACGAATCTACGAAGTTAACACACGATTATGTATATTCTTAACACTAATGCTGGCAACAGTCACCGACGCAAAACCGTAGACCGAATCAGCTGATACGACTCATCTTATGAGAGCGCAATGTAAATAAACACTCACCACCGCTTCTACAAACCTTACGGCAGTCAGCTGATTGCTCGCTTGCAACGCAGGGTTGCCAATCTCTCGATAATTTGTATTAATTAAAAAAATAAACTTGAATATTTTTGAAATATTCTTAAACTAACTCAAATTCACAGGCGAATAAATTTATTTATAAATAGGTAGACTATTTTTAATAGTTGGATTTTAGTTTTGAGCCTGACATTATGAAAAATTATAACTAAAAAACTAAATGTGTGAAGAATCGTGTGTAAAAATTGAACAATGGCAACATTGGTCAAATGTAAACAAAAGAGAACAACAGATTTCTACGTTGCCACTACGGGCATAACTTTTGGCAAATTTGGTTTGATATGGGCGGTAAGTACGGAAGGGCGGAATGTCGCTGACTGTTTTCAGCAAGTGCACAGCGTGTAATGATTTGCTTTTTTGTTTTGCTGAGTTTAATGACGTCACAAATATGGTTTGACGTAGTCGCTCAATGCTCTCCTGCCACTCAATTTCATTTTCTGTACTCTGGTCGACTATCTCACTCTCTGTGGACAAAAATTCGCATTATACCCCCTCATATTAAAAACTCTCTGTTTACTTCGTTAAATCGAATAACAAATATGTGTCTATAATTGTCTTTATCGCGGTTTCACGCTTCTTTGTTGTAGATTATATTATAGTTTTGAGTTTATCTTATCAGATTATAACTTATTCGATTACTGTATATAGATTCTTAGCAGTGTATTATACACGAAACGATATGATATTGCTGATTTAAGAAATTATAATATATTAAATGAAAGTTTTTGTATTCTGAAACCTGCTAACTGTTATAGTTTTTCAGTTTGTAAGGGCTAAAATAATTAGAACTCTAATGCTCAGACTTTTCAATACAGTATGCGAAAGCTTTTCATTTAAAAAATTACTGGCTTTACATATGATTAAGATTTGGCTTCTGAAAGCTGCGAATTATGAAATCATTCAGCATATTAGCGTTGGAGAAACTTACAAAAGGCGTCGTAAGTGTTCAAAATTCTAAAATCACAGCAATGAAAGCACAGAAAGCTTAAACAAGTTTTATACCAAGCCAAATCTACATAATTGTTCACGATCGGCTTAAAGCTTCTAAAAATGTAAGCCTCAGGATTTTCGCTCAGTATGCGAAAGCTCTTCATTTAAAAAATTATTTAAATAATTACTGGCTTTACATAAAATAAAGCTTTAGCTTCGGAAAGCTTCGAATTATGAAATCGTTCAGCATATTATGACAGAAATGAAAACACAGAAAGCTCAAGCCAAATCCACATAATTGCTCACGATCGGCTCAAAGCTTTTAGAAATTGCAAAAAGCTTAAAAATGCTCCGAAAATAATACAAAATTTCTCGAACAAAATGTGCAAAATTTAGTAAAGACTAGAAAATAAACTTATAAATTCTTTCAAGCTGTCAGTGAAAGCTTTCTGAGGGGAGCTTTCATAAAAAAAAACAGATTAAACCATATATGTAATTTTATGATATACATATATGTATGTACATATGTATAGATTTTATAAATTAAAATTTTCGATAAAGAAGTAATGCCGTTGTCTAATACTTAAAACACACAAAATATTTATTAAGAGATTATAATTGTTCCATAAATACCAAGCTGACGGCAAAAACTAAATTTATAACACTCGAGCAAGTATGATTTTTTACTTTGGGTTATCTTTATGATTTGCAATCATTCGATAAGTCAAAGTGGTGATAAATGAATACTGAAATATTGATGGACTAAATACTTAAATTATTTCTAAGGTCGTTTGTAAATGAATATATGTATATGTATGTATGTGAGTAGATTTCTATATTAATTTGTTGAATCTAATAATTTAGAATTTTTGCGAGATTATCAACCGCGTCGGGCTGATAACACCAATAGATTTAAGAAAATAGTTAACTTCAACAAACTGCACTACAAACACAGTACCAAAGTGGAGCTTTAATTCTGTGGTGAAATTGAGTAATCGCGAGCAAACAAACTGAGCGTTGAGAGAATAGAGCACACCTACGAGAAAAGCGCATGCACTCAAAACAAGAACGTAGAGAGAATAGAAGAGCGCCTACGTGGAAAACTCTCTCGAGCGCTAAGAGCAAAAAATACCCGACAATAGCGGCAATGACGTCGTCGGTATATTGGATTAAATATGATATGAGAGGATTCAGAGCATATATATGTATTTGTGCTTGAGCTTTCTTATAATAACCAGTACTTTGGGCCAGGTTAAACGCGCGTGTAAACAAACTACTAACTAAGTTAAGGTTTAGCGGAAAAAAGCTCAAGCTTTGCGGGCAGGCAGTATACAAATACAAAGTTATATACGAGTACACACATATGTAAATAAATTGCGTTTATTTGAGCGCCAGAAAAGCACTTAAGCTTGTGAAAGGATTAGCGGTTATGTTAATCGAATTAAGCTAAGCATTAGCGATTTAGCACTCGTATGGGCATGCGATGTACGATTTGCAATAAAATAGATTGCACGAAATCAGACACAAACAGGTGTAGCAGCTGTGACTTTCAGAAATTAGCTGTCAATCAAAGCGCCAACAGCTGATTGGAGATTGCAAAACCGAACAATGATAGATATACGTTAAAGATTTTTAGGTTATTAGAACTTATTATATTTAAGCACATGTATATTTATGTATATACGAGTATGTATGTACACTTTTTGTACGAATAACTAAAATATCCAACTAGCAAATCGAGTTTGAGCCAAATAAACATACAAAGATATGGACACAGCTGTAACGAGTAAGTGTAAAAGAAGTAAAACAATGCATATTCTTGTATACAGCTACTCGCTACAATTGGCCAGTAGCCTTGTGATACGTTGAGTAAAAACAAAAATACCATTAATGTAAAAAAACGAATGTAAAACAATAGCACATTGTCCAAATTAGAGCTAGATTTCCCGTTAGAGCCGAATGACGTGGCTTCAAGTGGCAAATTAGACGGACTGTCTACTAGGCTACCAGCCGGTCGGTCATTCGATCGTTGTGTTGGTCACAGTGTGCTTTGCAGACGCGCTGGGCAGGGCTTATTTTGCTGTTGGCAGTCACATAAGCATATTTGCACTCGTGATCGTGCCACATTTGTTGGCTCGTGTACGACTTGTGACTTTGCATGAGCTGTGTGTACGAACGTGAGTGAGTTTTGTACCAACTCAAGGCAGCATTGATCAAGCGTTGAAACTCTGCTTAATTAAGGCATTGAAAGAAATGCGTGTTGTAGAAATGACGGAGGAAATATAATATAAAATCTGCTGAAAATTTCCAACGAATGCGGCGCAAATGAAATAATAAGCCCATAAGTGGGGATGAAAGTGTTTTGGTGTATTGCAGAAATTCGAAATTTTAATTTTACATTTTATGAGAAATTCGAAATTTTAATTTTACACTTTATAAAATAGTTCTGTTTTAAACTATTTTAAAAAAATAAAAACCACCAGAAATTTACTTCATGCAAAGCAACTGTATTTGCATGCGCGGCTAGCAGATAATGATTTACTTTCTTATTAGACTTTTGCTACAAATACTTGTACATAAATAAACAGCATTTTTATGACCTTTTCTTTGATTATGACGCGCGATAAGTTTAAAAATAGCTTGAGGCTACTTATGTACACACATACATGTACACGCCATGTACATAAGTATGTTTGTATGTATTCATATCCTTTTCACAAAAGTCAGCGACGTCATGTGTATGTATGTGTATAAATTTATGAATGAGCCAGTCAATGGTAAATATTTCTATTTCCCAAGCGGCAAAAGTACGTAGTAAATAATGAAGTGAAAGGACACAACCATATGCGCGTGAGTGCTGCATTTACGTCAGCAAATATTTATAGGTATCTGCAGACGATATTCATTATAGAGTCATGTACATTAAAAATAGTTATTATACCCTGAAGAGGGTATATTGTGTTTGCCACGAAGTATATAACACTCAGAAGAAAACGTGGAAGACCCTATAAATATATATATATATATGTATATATATAAGTGATCAGCGTGACGAGCTCAGTCGATTTGTCTGCGCGTCTGCCTCTCAGGCAATTGAAATATCGATCTGAAATTTCGCACCCGTCCTTTCCTACCCAAGCAGCTGCTCCTTTGTCGGAATCGCCGAAAACGGACTACTATCGCCTATAGCTGGCATACAAACTGAACGCTAAAAATCAAGTAAAAGTTACTTTTATACACTTTATGCTTTAATAAATGCAAATCTGAAGGGTATTATAGCTTTGGTGCAGCCGAAGTTGCCGTTTTCTCTTGTTTTTATATAAAAATTTGTTAATTTACATATACATATAAACTATGTATATATAATATATAGACTAGATTAATTTGTAACCTGTGAAAATTATTTGTTCAACGAAATATGGTTTTCCAACACCTACAAACATTACTTATTCAAATATATGTAATGCATCAGTTATGAAGTCAATAACACTGTCCTCTAAAATTAGTTATTATTCGTGGAATTAGTCATATAAGTAGAGGATTTTAAGCCGCAAACGAAAAAATAATTCGACATGATGCAACAAACGCAATCGACTATTCGCTCGTTGTAAACATTTTAAGTACATCGCTAACATTTTACGTAGTTAAATTTGATTTTTAGCTGATATTTCTATGACTAGTACAGATCGAGGTAGTAAATAGAGAGTTTCTAGCATTCTTACTAGTACATATAGCAAGACAGCTGCTTTTCTCGCACATTTCATGATACGCAATAGAATAAAACATATACTTGTATATAATTATTACTTGTACTGGGAAGAAAAGTGAAAAACCGGTTTCTTGTAGCACGTCTAGTGAGACATAACTTAAAACTAAGCGAGTAAGTGAGTGTTGGCGGAATATTTAAACGAGGTTAAATTCGTAGCAGACAGAAAATAGTGTGAGACATTTTTATATCGTAGCAGAATAGCTAAGGGTAATAGCCAAGCCTTTTAATGGCTGCACGTCAACGTTAGCGAGATTTATCGATAATCGATTGGTGATTGCAGGTTCTGAACGTGTCTAATCTGTCACATTTACTTTAATTTCTCTTTCAAAAGACGTGCGCAGTTTAGAAACGATTTTTCTGGCAATTCGCACAATTCGACACATTTACTCAAGCAGTGATTGTATAGCAGCAAATTTATAACTAAAATTGCTTTAGCATGACTTAAATGCTATTCAGCAAAACACAATAGGGGGCTTTTTTAAACTCACATTGCTGCGAAGGTGAAAGGCAACTTTTATACATTAAAAAAGAAAAAAAAACATGAAAACATCACGCAAATTATGCGAGATATTAAAACATTATGAAGAAAGTGAAAGATAAAATATGCAAAAAGACGAACAAATATGTAAAGATATAAACTTAAATAGATAAAAGGAACGAAGATATTCAGTGTGCAAAGTGGAAATCAGATATTTGTAAAATTATACTCACGCAAAGATACATTGGCAACATAAAACCAAAAAGACCTGAATAAAAATATAAAAAACTTTTGCAACGTAAACAAACCGCTGCCAAAAACACACTAATTGACATATGGAGAACAAACTTCACGTGAAAATAAAAAAAAGTTGTGCCAATCTAGACAAAAAAATATTTACCGCTGCGATTTGCGCACGCACTTTAAATGGACCAATACGAGCCAAATTTGAACCTGAGTGTAAAACTGCTGTTTTTTACACGAATTTAACAGCAATTTTTCAACAATTGCTGGCAACAAAAGTTTGACACAAAATATTCACGTGGAAAGATAAAAAAATGAATAAGAAATTTGTAAAATATTGACGTGTAAAGAATCACACGAAAGCAATGAGGTGTAAAAATCCCCCCAGCTAAAACTGCCTGCAAAGTGTGTTTGTAAGAATTGAAAAGCGTCAACAAGAAACCGTAAAGGTGCGAATGAATCACGAGCAGCACAAAGCACTGACAACCGCTATAAGATATCACAAATAATAATAAATAAAAATTTAATAATATGTAATACACACATACATATACATATGTATGTATGCCCAAACTGCTGTGCGCCGGCAACAACTCACTCAATAAACACAACATTTAACTAGTTTTGCCGGTTATTATTGAAGATGATTCAGAGCTAAATAAAAGCACAGCGATGTACTTACGTAGTATATAAGCAAGCAATAAATATGCAACAAAAACAAACAGTAGCGAAACTGTCAAAAAAAGAAATTGACAAAGTTTCACTACCGCTAAACAAACATTGAACTTGATTGTCACCTAGCATGTTGTCATACTTCAAGTGGCAAAAAAGTAGTGTTTTTTTTTGTTATTTTTAACACAAAGTTATTTTACGTTATGTTGTAAGTGGTGTTGAAATGCATGCACCCTCACCCACTGTGGCGCATGCACAGCTGTTGTTGGCATGCCTTCGATGCCATTATCTACAGTTCATTCCACTATCGAGTGGTAGCGACACGTGACATATTTCCAGCAGCAACATACTTGATGTTTATGGATGTGTACGTGTTTTTCACAGTTTCTGGCGCATTTACTTACGGCTTTTGTTCTTTTTCACTCACTGTAGGTATGTACCATACATATGTACATATATGCCGATGTATGTAAACATGTAGTGAATTTTGTTATCGTAACAACTTCCCTGTTCTTACATAGTAGTCATTAAAGGTTGTTATTGAAAGCAGATAAGACTTCACACTGGCAACTTGACATGATCTAAATGCGCTGTATGCTCATTAAGTAGAAATATACTATACGTACATATGCACAAATGCATACTAAGAACCTAAATGATAATGTGGTATATAATAAATAAAAAAAACCCCACGAACATCAATTTATTTAAACTCAGCCTAGCTTATCGCAAGCGTGTCTTTATTGTATATTACTACATACAAATATGTGCATATTCATATATAAATAAGTTTGTAAGCAAATACTCGCTTATACTGAGAACTCGTTTTAAGATTGTTGACAGTAGTACTTGACATATATTTTAGCGATTTTTGAAAGCTTGAAAATGTCATAAATGTAAAATAATATTATTATTACAAGGTATGAATTGGAGTAGATGAATAAAAACATATATACATATATATATATATATACATATATACAAATATATATACACACACGCATACAAACATTCATATTTAACATGAACAAACATACAATATACAATACTACAGTTAGTAATCAGAATAATATTTAAAAAAAAATTTGTTTGATAAAAAACATAAATTTCGATTCGCTTTGCTCATACGTACTAGAAAGCGCACCTTAGCATATTTTTGCATAAATTTCGCAAGGCGAAATCTTTCGCAGTTTGTATTTTAAGCGGTTTATTTTAAAGCACTTTTTGTTGCAATTTTCAGGGAATTACGTATAAAATACGTGTCATAACTTATTTTTTATGAAAAAGAAAAGTTAAAAAATAGTCAAAAATAAGATAAAAAGATAAAAAAAAAGTTAAAAACTATAAAAAAAATTAACATTAATTTAAAAGCTTGAAAAAAGTCGACAGCTGAGCCAATGAGCCAGGCATATCCGCAATTAAAATGCTTAGCATGTATAGTGGTGGTATGAATATACATATGCACGTATACAAATATATTAATAAATAAATAAATATACACATATACACACAAAACGCTTAAGAAAACTACTTCTTTTTTTCATTTAATAAAATGCCTCACTCTTGCAAATTGTGCGAAAGCATTCAATAGCGCTGTGTTACGTACTTTTGTTGCGTGGCAACATGTTGCTAAGACAAAACTATTTAAGATACATACCAAACTGTTGTCAATAGAATTAAAGATGTTTTTAACCAAAATAACTCTGCGAAAACGCACATATGCATTTATATAAATTTTTTTATAAAGCAGCTGTTTTGGTTTTCTCTGCGTGGTTGCACACTTAATAAATGTTAAATTAGAGCTATTAATCTTTTGTATTCTATATCCATTTGTGCATATAAAATTATTAAAACGTATTTTTATATCAATAAAATAATCACTGATTTTTATGGGCTATTTGTTTATTCTCTCTGGTGAAAGTATCATTTCGCATAATTATAAAAATTTCACTTACCTTCGCTGCCGCAAAACCATCTGGATTACAGCTGGGTAATAGATGAATTTCTGTTGTATTCAACAGTTGTTGCACCTCCGGCACATTTGCGTAATTCAATGTCAAATATTGTGCCAGAAACAACACTATTTGTCTGCCAAGTGTCTCATCACCATGTATATTTGCGGTAACCTTAATCAATGGACGCAGCAAATTAACATTTTTGTCATTTTCGCTCTGTGCAGTCAACGCAAGCGCATGCATTTCACGTCCTTTCACCGTTTTGCCAATGGAATATTTTGTAGCTAGGTGTGGAAAGAGATCTTGCAGCTTTCCGAAAAGTGCGCTGATTTCACCATTGTCTAGATAATGTGGCGGAGGATGCGTAATAAATGACTCGTCTTCCACAATTGGCACAGATGGTGCTGCAGCATTCGGCGTAGCAGGAGCAGCGCCGTTAGCAGCAGCAGCATTGGTGGTGGCAGCAGCAGTAGAGTTAACGTCTGCATCAATGACTGTTGGTGTGAGGGTCACTATTACAATAAAACTAATAAAGCTGGCGTATGTAGCCTGCGCAGGCGTAAGTGATATCACACGCATTGTTGTTAAACAACTCAATTTAATTTAATTTATTTAAATTTGCAACGACACCACACTATTTCTCGCTGCACTTAGCTCACACGCACACTATCACACACTTTAGAAACAATAAGAAATTTTTACTGCCTTTCGCGGCTACCCAAAGCAGCTATTATGAGACCGATTATATTTTTTGCCTTTTTCTATTAAGGTAAAATCACGATAAATCATTTATTTGCGTAAAAAAAATATTTAAGCAAAGCGCATCTTGCGCACTTGTAGCCAGCGCTAACATCTATTTTGCTGACGTTGGATTATTTTTCTGCTGCTTTGTGTTTCTTTGTTTGCGCTGCGCGCAAATGCAGATCCTTCAAGTTATTTCCCACGTCTGTTAAAAAAAAAAAAACTTAAATTTTCTCACTGCTTTGCTATGCACACTGTAGATAGTACACAACTTTCTTATTAAATTTTAAACATTTTATGAATGAATAGCACAAAAACTCTCAAATTACAATCCGTAACTAACTATGTAAACCAGACCAAACGACACAAACTGAACTACACAACAGCAAATGACAGCAGCAGCAGTGGCAGATTCACACACACATATAAACAATTAAAGCTGGGAGAGCAGTGGTGCTAGATAATTTACTCCCATAACCGAATACATCAACAACCGTCTAACTTAACATGGAATTTGTTAATTTTAATTAATTTACTTACAATAAATTTTTAAATACGACAACATAATTAAATCAATTTTCATTACGTATTATATATACATTCTCTAGCGATTGTTTTAGATGTTTACCCGACACTTTCAACCGTAATAAACACATGATTACGTTGTTAAAACTGCGTCATTAACAAACATTATTTTTATTATTACTATTATTTTATTTTAGTTTTTATGCTTAAATCATAAAATGAAGCTTTTTACAAAATTTTCCTTAAATTAAACAATTTTTGTCAATTTATTATTCGCTTAATCTCTTAGAAAATTTTTAATAAGACACCCTGTGCTTTAGCAATCTTTGTTTTGATTCTGTCTTTTGTTCATTTGTCAAAAACAATCGGAAAATTTTCTGGTTTTCACTCGTCATTGCGAAAATTTTACCTACGTGAGAAACATTCATAATTGCGTCAATTGCTTTTAATTTCGAATTATAGCCAAATATTTGTGGCCAAGCCTTTTAACAGCTTAGGAAGTGCCAGTAAACGTATTTAAATGTTCGTTGAAGACAATTTTTCTGTATTAGCAGTCGTCGCCCTAGCAGCGCTTATTCGCAGCAGTGGCGGAGAATTATAAGTATCGAAAGGCAAATAGTGCGATAAGGAAGTGGAAGTGGTGCTGAGAAAACGTATATTATAATTTCTAAAGGAGCAAGAACTAGTGTGTTTGTTTGTTTGCATACGTGACCTCAGCAGCAAAGCGAAAACCGAGAGCATAGTAGAAGAAAACCATCTTCACTTCATCTACGTTAAAACTATTTTAGTAAGCTCTATACCCGTACCCAATTAAGTATCTGCGTTATGCCACAATCACGTGCTGCCGCGGCAGAAGCTGCGGCCACTGTTAGTGGCCCACAACCACTCGTTAAAATTGGACATTATCTGTTGGGCGCAACGCTCGGCACAGGTACCTTTGGTAAGGTGAAAATTGGTGAGCATCAGATGACACACCATAAGGTAGCGGTCAAGATATTAAATCGTCAGAAAATTAAAAGCCTCGACGTTGTCGGTAAAATTCGTAGAGAGATACAGAATTTGAAACTCTTCCGGCATCCGCACATCATTAAGCTTTATCAGGTATATATGTATATGTTTTAATATAAAACTCATATACTCTTAATTACACATTCACCAAGGTCAACAAGGGTGATTATTGTTTGACGTTTATTTACTTTTATTTTTTACATCACCCCGATATAAATATTAAAAAATATTTTATTTTTTTACTGCCACAGGTTATATCCACGCCTACTGATATTTTTATGATTATGGAATACGTGAGCGGTGGTGAACTCTTCGATTACATTGTTAAACATGGCAAACTGCAGGAACACGAAGCACGTCGCTTTTTTCAACAGATCATATCCGGTGTAGACTATTGTCATCGCCATATGGTTGTACATCGCGATTTGAAGCCAGAAAATTTGTTGCTCGATCACAATTTACATGTGAAGATCGCAGACTTCGGTTTATCTAACATGATGTTAGATGGCGAGTTCTTGCGTACTTCATGCGGCTCGCCCAACTATGCTGCACCTGAGGTAATATCTGGCAAACTTTATGCTGGTCCAGAAGTAGATATATGGTCATGCGGCGTCATTCTCTATGCACTGCTATGTGGCACGCTACCATTCGATGACGAACATGTTCCGACGCTCTTCCGAAAAATTAAATCTGGTATTTTTCCCATACCAGAATATCTGAATAAGCAAGTAGTCAATTTAGTGTGCCAGATGTTACAAGTAGATCCACTCAAACGCGCTACCATGGAAGAGATTAAGAAGCATGAATGGTTCCAAAAGGAGCTACCTTCATATCTCTTCCCGTCCTCAATTGAGCAAGATTCGAATGTAATTGACACGGTTGCCGTCGCCGAAGTTTGTGGGAAATTTGGCGTTAAAGAGACGGAAGTGCATAATGCATTGCTCAGTGGCGATCCACACGATCAATTGGCTATCGCTTATCATTTAATAATCGACAACAAACGTTTCGCTGACGAGGCAGCAAAAACGGAGATCAATAACTTTTTCGTAGCCGGTTCGCCGCCGCCTGCCGCCCACTCACCTAGTGAGCGCGCTGAATCAGTTGGACCAACCGCTGTAATCACTGCCGGCGGCACTACCTCGGGCACGTCCACTCCAGGTGGCACCAACAGCGCCATGCGTCCACATCCCGAACGCATTGCACCGATGCGCGAACGCCAATTGGCTATGTCGGTGCAGGCATCGGGTGGCGGTGCCTTTCCTGAAAAAGCAGCACGTGGCACACCTATCAAACGTGCCAAGTGGCATTTGGGTATTAGATCGCAAAGTAAACCTAACGACATCATGCAAGAAGTGTATCGCGCCATGAAAGCTCTAGACTATGAGTGGAAGATCATCAATCCATATCATGTGCGTGTGCGTCGTCAAAACCTAAAAACGGGCAAATACTCGAAGATGTCTTTGCAGCTATATCAAGTTGATTCCAAGAGTTACTTGCTGGATTTTAAGTCTTTAACCAACGAAGAGGTTGAGCAAGGCGATGACGTTATACTGGAAAGTTTGACACCACCGCCGCTAAGTGTACAGGGTGCAATGCCGCAACAGCCCACAGGTCACCATACGATGGAATTTTTCGAGATGTGCGCCGCTTTAATTATACAACTAGCTCGTTAGCTGATAAAAACAAATGCCAACGGGCTTTGTGGACGATTTGCAAGGAAGAGAGAGTTGTAGCAGAGGGCAAACATTTTTTCGTTGAATATATTGTACAACTTTTATTTAGAGTATAATTGGGCTCGCGGGATTTGTATACGTGGGTGTGGCCTATTTTTTTAGTTACATACATACCATATATCGTTTGATTATCAGCTAACAGGAATTTCGAGTAGTAAAGATTTTTCGTACATATATTAATTGTTGTAGTATCGCTAACGCTTTTATTAAAAATAAAACTATTGAAACGTTTACAAAGGCTTTTTTGTTGCGGACCAGAAAAATTAATCAGTTTTTTCTTATATGGTAACAATTTCATTATTTAGTCCTCTAAGTTGTAGTGCGCCTTTTCTAAAATTGCAGTATTGTTAAAAAACAGCTGAATAAATTCAATTAACAACTAAAATATTTAGGGATAATATTTGACATTTGTCCGCTTGTTAGTTGGGTATAATATTGCCACATTTTATTTGTTTATTTTTTATATGTTAATATCGCACATTATTATAAAAAAAATCGTATTACGTACGTCAAAATAATAAAGAGAAAATACAATGCTCATTGTAATGAGCGAAAACATTTCTACTATATCTACCCGTAAAATACAATGTGTAAATAAAAACTTAAATACGAAATACACAATAATTCTTTCATCTCGTTTGCCACTTATCCAGCACGCCTGATATATGAGGAAATGTAACTTTTTGGGACTGCGTGTCATTAGGTAACTTATTTGTCCTTCAAGCTCGCGGCAGCTTCGTCGTCTTGTTTTTTCTTGCGTTTCAACTTGTTGATTAGATTTTCTATACTATTTGCATCTACTAGTCCAATGAATTTATCAACAACGACTCCATTACGGAACGCCAGTACAGCAGGCACGGCTTTTACTTCGAAGGTCTCTACTAATTCAGAGTTTGTATCCACATCTATGGTAGCCAAATCGATATCTTCAGAGTCATCTAAAAGCTCACTCATTTTCGGTGTAAGTATTTTGCATGGATCACACCACTCTGCATGAAAGTTGACAACAACCGGATTATCATTGTTTATTACCTGTAAGAAAATATCTTGATTGCATAATGGTCCAGTAGTGTGTATATTTAAATGTTTTACTAACCTTTTGATCAAATTCGTAGTGATCCTTGACATCCACTTTACGGTTATAAGAGTGATTTTGCGATATGCACTTCTGCAGTGCCGCACTGATCCCGGAGGTTACATGTTGGTTACTACTCTGTGTGGTACCTGCCAAGCCAGCAACTATGCGCGGCGCAACGCTTTGTCCAGCAAATTTTAGCATCTCAGGCTTATTTTTACTTTAACTGCAAATAATCAAATGAAAATTAATAATTTAGCGTCAAGTTGTGATAAAGCGTGCTATCCCCCAATATTAGCAGAACAGTCGATGACGCACTTATCAAGTGTGAAAAAACAAATTCTGGCCAACTACGTGCCTTCAGTTGAAATGACGCTTCGGTTAAGTCAGATAAGTTTTATTTGTATTTCTCAAAAGCGTAGAGTATGCAAAATTGCTTGCTTACCTGTTGCTTACAAAAATATGCAATGTTTAACAGAGGTTTAGCTCTAGATACATAAAAAATTTATTTTTAATAGTATTCCACTTCGCACCAGTTTTCGCTCAGCTGTTAATTGACGTCAGCGCATGCTTTTTGTTTTTTTCAAACGATGCAGAATATAGCGTACATTTACAACTAAGTGTTTTAAAGCGATCCTATATTTATGCAACTTTCGTTGTTATATTTAGCACATTTTTGCAGAATATGCACAAGAATAAACCGGATGAATTTGTCGAAGATAAAATACACCAAAATTTTTTAACAAATCGCAAACGTCAAAATACAGAAACGTAGGAAATCCAAAAGCATAAACAGAAAACTTTGAACATCTCTGTTAACAGCTCAGCTGACAGTGCTGCCGTATTTGTTTGGCGAACTTTACTTAAAATCCTTTAGTGTTATTCAAACTGTTGGCACACAAAGGAACTGATAATTACAATTTCCGCTCGCGTTATGGAGACAAACGCTTATTTTGAAAGTTTACGCCGGAAAATATTAACAATTGAGAAAAGCAGTTCAAAAACAAACCCCAAATTTCCTTAAATGTTTATTGTAATGGATCAGTAGACATACATATATAATATATTATGATAAGCACACGATTAGTTGTATCTCATTTGTTTCAGATTAATCATATTACAAAAACTGTTATGTTTCCGAAGTGATTAATAACAAAGTTTATGCGGTGAACCGTACCCTTTGTGGCTACGCTAAAAAACATAATACATAAATACTTCAGAAATGTGCATTGCTTTAGCTACTCACTCTTTCAATTAATAAAATAGCTTAGAAAAAATAGCGTCGATATACTGAGACAGTATGGCCTCTCCGACGCCGTTTGAAGCAGCGTTGTCAATGTAGGCGTTGCTCACCAACGGCACATAGATAAGATTACACAGCCTTAAATGCGATTCTTATTATACAATTTGAGTTTCCTGAGTTTCCAAAAACAGTAATTAGGTGCTCTTGGAGTGTCGAACGTCATCGTCGCGGTCGAGTTAATCGTATTGGGAATCGCTTACACATTATTGTTCAAACATACAATATCTACAAACGATAGCCGCTGACGTCGTGGGGCGCGATGTTGCAGAGAATTAGCGCGAAGTACAACAATTATACGTGTATGTGTGTGCATGAATAAGCTGTAAAGAATTGACTGCTTAAGCCGTAAAAAAATAAATATATATTATATATTTTGCCGGCGAAATATTGTGAGCGAAAACCTTAGGGTGCAGTGACACGCACTGAATAGTTTGCTGCTAATAAAAAATAATATACACATTGTTAAATATGCAAATGCTACATGTAAATGCATATATGCATATGTATGTGTGTAAAAAGTTACTTATTTAATATTATGTAAACTCTTATACATATTTACTTGTACATATGTACGCTCGCGTATGCGGTTATACCGCCCAGCGCCCCATCTAAGTAGGTACTTTAAAAACTTGCAAATACGCAAAGTGTGATAACGATATCGGTTTTGAATTACGCCTCCGAGTCAGAAATAAAATATCTACAATATATACTATATAAATAAATATATACAAACAACCATATGTGTGTACACAAGCTTACATATTCGGCGTGCAGTTTGCAAGCATATGTGATTTTTTAAATTCTTTCCCCTTCTTCCTTGCCGCCTTTACCCTGAATGCTGTATAATATGCAAACGAGCAGCAGCAGCAATAGCAGTCACAGTCGCCACAATGTAGCAACGACAACACCAGTCACTCCTGGCACGCCCGATTCAGCGGGCATATTGATTGGCGCTGCGGGTCAGGCTGTTTATGAGAAACGCAACAAAAACATTCTCCACTATTTGCGCGACCGCACGCCGAGTCATATACGCGCACAACATCAACATAACTACTATCAGCACAATCCAGAGCAACAAGTTGCATTTGGTCGCCAACGCCAAGAAGCCGTCATTTATTTAAAGGAGCCACGTTTTATTAACAAGCTGGCGCTACTGAAAAGTTCGAGCACACGCGATTTGTCGCGTTTGAAGGTCGAGGAAAAGTCTGTCGATATTTTATCGCCGACTACTGTGCATTTTGATAGCTCTACAAATAGTAGTAAGTCTTCAAGCGAATCGCCAGTGGCTCAGCGTAACCAACCGCGTAGTCTAGAGGGTGTATACTGTGAAGGGTATTGTGCGCGACGCATCACTGAATTGGAACAACGCGTTACCCAATTGGAGCAGCAAGTGCAAGCTGAGCGAACAGTTGGCAAAGATCTGTACACGCGCATACAAGAACTCATACGTCGCGTAGAAGACCTGAGCCAGTTCAAGGCGTCCGATAAACGAAAACTTAGCAGTTTTCGTAAGAAAGGCTCACACGCAAATACAAACCAGCAAGCGTCTGTGCAGCCTTCAAAGTTAGTGACCTGGATGAATTTGTCAAATTGGTTTAAGCAACGCCCAAGTATCGCAACTTTAAAGGAACAAAATATCTACAATGGTGAGTGGAAATTTATATTGTCAATGTATTATAACGGAAATGGAAGTAAAATGAAATGAACAAATGTCTATTTAAAATGCGAGCGGGGAGGAAAGCTAATTTTAGTTAGCGCAATATATAAATAAATAGTTTGCATATAATAAAAATATACATATTTAAGGCTCTAGCTGCAACCGTAGTTAACAATTTAGGAAATACAATAATATATATATATTTATGGCTAAAGACTTTTTCTTCACTACAAGTGCACAACAAAGAAAATAATTTCTATAGTATTAAAAATGCCTAAAGCCAGTACCAAAAGCTTCTAAATATTCACTATAAAGTAGCTGTAAATTTAATCACTGATTCTAGTGATAGCACTTCGTGCAGATAAGAGTTTTTACAACATTTGGAAAAAGTTAACATAAATTAAAAAATAGTACAAATTAATATATTTAGACATATGCGTAGATACGAAACTATGCCTACACGAGTACGATAAAGTTTCCAAACACATGCATATGCATACATAAGTATGTTAAATATAGAGAAATTGCGTTTATCGGCAGGCTGTACGGAGAAAGGCAGCCAACTCTGTTTGATAATGCACTGACCTGGTTGTGGTGGTAAATACTTCAAAGCTGACCTAAATCTACATTTATTTAAATATTAGTATAATATATAAAGTATTTTAATGCTTTATAATTTTTTTTTATATTTTTTTTCGTCATTAGATGAGCCTTGTTTCGACACGGAAATCGAAATGGCGTTGAAACATGAGATCCATAAAACCGTACCGAAAATCGTTGTGGATTGCTGTGATTTAATTGAGGAACGTTACCGCAAGACGTCGGAACCCATCGAGGGCATATATCGGCAGTGTGGCGATTATAATAAAATTCAAAGTTTGCGCTTTCGCATTGATGCAAATGATTATGAGTCATTACGTCAACCGAATATAGACATCCATACATTAACTGGCGTGCTCAAATTATTTCTGCGTGAAATTAAAAGCCCATTGGTGAGCGCGAATGAAGCGAAAACTTTTATTGGTAAACCGAATCAGTGGCGTAAGTGTTGGTTTTCTTATAAAATTATGAGCAACTTTACTAAAATATATATGTGTGTGTATATTGTAATTATGTTTTGATTCTCTCTACAGTGCTGACCGATTTGACTGCGAAAATCGAGATTTTGAAAAAACTGATTCGAACTTTGCCGGAAGTCAATCGTGATACGATGAATTATATATTCGAACATTTCAATAAGTAAGTAATTGTTTTTCATATTTCTTTTGTGTACCAAGCAATTCTCAATTTAAGGCTGACGAAAGTGCCTTTACAACAAATCAGCGCTGATACACTTGCCTTATCCATAACACCAACAATTTTCCATCCCTTACAGAAGGGCGCAAATACGCCGGACTTGCAGGAGATAATTAAGGAGGGCCAACTGCTAGCAGATTGTGTCAAAATAATGATCGAATATCATAGTCGTATATTCGAGTAAGTTATGAAATGCGATTTTATATATTATATCTGTGTGTATTGTGTTGTTGCTTTCTTTTCTAATTTTTTCAAAATAAAGAAATGTTTGAATTTATGGTTTTCGCCTACTCATTCCATGATATACAGATGTCCGGTCGAGCGGCGGTGCAAACGCATCAGTGTGCGGCGTCTGCGGAAAACCCTATCACAACCGGATTTGATTTTTCAAAATTTCTTTTAAGTAAATTTTTCAGTCTATAATGTGTACAATATTTCATAATGTAATAAAAAATCTGTATTTATAAGAAAAATGTTTAAATTTATTTATGTATATAAACAAATGTGTTTAGCCTAAATCTGCACGTTGTCATACACCTTAATATTAACTCTTATTCTTCTTGTAAACGTAAACGATGTTGTGTTAGAAAGGCCACATCAAATATAGCCTCCTGCTGCAGCAATTCATGCACTTCGTATTTCATGGACTCCTCATATGCGTACAGGATGCTTGTGTCATAAAGCATCATTTTGCAATGCGCTAAAGCTAGAATGCAGTTTCGCAGACGTGTAATTACCTCTCGGTCTGCTCGCGGTATTACTTCACTCAAATTTTGTGCATAGCCACCGTCACCGCCATCAGCTTCGTTATTCACAGTCGGCGATATCCAGATAAAACCATTGTTGCCAAGAATTATGGATGCACCACATGTCAAGTTATGAAAATGCGTCTTACGACGCTTAACCAACGAAGGAAAGACTTTGACAAGTACTCCCTGTGATAGTTTGCCATATTTCAAACTTCGAGTGTAAAGTGATAATGTGCCTTCATCAAAAATATTCTGCACCTCAGCCGATATAAGATCGCCCTCTTGTAGATATTTACGCATCATTTGTTCATCTTCCACACCTCTTCGACGCAATTCACCGCCCGGTAAATTTACAGAAGACAACTGCAATACGGAATCCAAACGGGAGTTCGTATCCACCTTCCAACGTCTTTGTTGTACCTCAGTAATGCGCGCAACCACAACATCGCCAATTTCACCTACATAACGGCTCTTAAGTGGTTTTATAGAAATTAGTTTGTTCACCTGTTCCATCACTCCAGCTACAGATGCTTTGATGTCTTCACCTTCAACATAAGTGCCATGGCCCTTCATGAAACCAAACTGACCAGTGACCACTTCGCCGGGTGTGTAAAGACGCGGTGCCCTTGTCTGGTTTTGTGCCAACAAACCCATATTGACCCGATCAATAGCTAGACGTATATTAACGTTTGTAGTCATTATTACAAATGTAAAAAGATATTATTATTTTCTTTATTGTTAACTTTATAAAAGTAAAGGGTAAACAAAAGCAACACGCGCAAATTCATTAATTTGTAGTTGCCAGATGCATGAATATTTGTTTGTTTCCCCTAACATTTCTTATCAAAGCATATGTACATATGTATGTATGTAAATACATATGTTTTTAAATAATTCTTGAAAGAAAAACTATTTAACATGTAAAAATAAAATTAATTATTTATAAAGCTACTAGATTCTATTGATTTTTTGGTCAAGTATTTTATTTGTAAGCTTACAGAAATAACAATAGTATATTTACTACTTGTGAGAAAATAAATTCTCATTAAACTTTGTGCCTATAACATACGCGCTTCCTTTATCGGCCAAAGTCGACACACTACCCGGCTTTTCACTAGTCCTAATGGTACTGGACCATAGTATCGTGAATCCGAACTATTTTCACTGTTGTCACCTTCAATCCATATGTAACCACGAGGCACATATTCATCTTGAAAATTATTTATTTTTTGTGTTTTACTTGTTACTAAAGCATCGATATCAGTTTCAATTGGTTTTGTGTTGTTTTTTAAAACGATTCGATCTCCAGGTATGCCTACAATGCGTTTGCAAATGAATTGCTTGGGATCGGTGGGAGACACAGCAATGATTATATCGCCTCGTCGCGGATTATGAAAACGTGTGGATATGCGTTCTGTCAGCAAGATGTTTTTCGAATGCAATGTAGGTTCCATTGATGGACCGTTGCACTGAAAATGTATTATTAGTTGAAATTGGCCTCGTATTTCTTTTTCCACCTTACCACCACAAAATCACCGACATATTCAAAAGTACAGTGCGTAAGACAAGCATACATCATGCTGTATTTTATTACGTCTTTCACTCTTGAAAGTATAGACACCATGTTGGCTTTATTTACAAATAATTAAATATTTTGTAACTAAAAAATTTACTTAAATATAGAAAAGTTTTTTTTATGGCTCGTGGGATAGCAGCTGTGAGCAAAACAACATTAAACAGCTGATTCGTTGGGTATATTCAGTGAATATTTTGAAACTGCTGTGCAATTGGAATGTGCGCGTATGTATATGCATTTGTGTTTAATATACATGTGTGTTTGAATGTAAAAGTGGCTTGAATCGAGTTAGGGAAGAACATTCCAACCCGCGTAGCTACGACGTCGACCTTGGCAAGGATAATCACAGTTTGTTAGCATTCACAAAAATGTGTGGAAATATTTTATGCCAGTAGAAGAAACATGCAAGGCATACAAGTTTCTCTTCCATACTCATTGTCATATACCTATGTATATCAATCCTCTCAGCATATTCTAGCAGTATACTTTTATTTTAAACGAGTTTTGAGACATTCAGTGTTTATTATAGATTTCACATATGAGAATTGAAGTAGATTTTTTCTACAAATATATATGTATATATAATGTGCATTAAGCATAAATGTGAGAGTTACATTCATAAATTCAGATAGTTTAGTTAGTATAATTGTATATACAAATATCCTATATATGGCTCTCCATTTTCAATTTTTCTTCCGTTTTGAACTCTTTCAAATCTTCACTAAATCTCTTATTTCAAATTACATGTGTCAATGTACATTCAGTATGGTTGCTTGGAAGAAATTTATAAATTTTTTACAACAATATTTTAACTTCTTATTTTACTCATCCATAAATTACAATTATGCGTAACAATAAATGTCTACAGATAATGAATAATTTTGTTGCATGCCGTTATTTTGTTAATATGAAATGAAAAAATTTTTATTTTCGTTTACATTTCTTCTACATATGCTTATTATTCACTTAGTCACAATAAAAATACTACTACGTGCATGCTTTCATTAATTTTTTTTTTTTAGACAATGTGATCTCATGTGATTTAAGTATGAAGTTTAATAATTATGTAGGTACACTTTTAAGCCTTAGAGTAAATAATGGAAATTAACTATTTAATTTTAGGAAAAAAATATTGCATTTTAAATACGAAATAAATTAAATTAATTACGACTAAACAACACTCATACTATTAATAATAAATATTTTAACGAAACGCGCAAATGATCGATATATAAATTTGTATAAAATTATATACATCGCAAAATTATTTCGAAGACTCCAACAGGTAGAATTATTCTGCCTTTTTGCCCTCCTCCTTTTCACGCTTTGCCTCACGTTCGCGCATATCTAAAGCGACCAAGTCAATACTGGCTACATAAGCATGCAAGCAGGAGATTAAAGACTTCAGTAGAGCAAATGGCGCCATGACGATAGCCAAAAGTTTAAACAAGGACATTCCAAAGACTATTGATGAAACAAAAAAAACATATTTGTTAAGTATTCAACAATTTGACTAAGAACAAGTTGTGACAACTTACTTAATGGCCCGTAAGTGAAATATAAAAGATACAGGCAAACATAAAATAGTTCATTTGCGCAGCACATAAATGTGAGCACATTTTTCTGATAATAAGTACGCATTATTACATTTTCCTTAACATCGAATGATTTGTGTGATGTTTTTCCCACCATGACGCTCCTAGAAAGATGTATAAATCTAAATATAGTTAATTTTTTTTTTACTTCCACTTTCTTACGTTTGCATATAAAGCCAATGACAAGCAATATCAATGGCGATTGAGACCTGGAACCAGAACATATATTTGGGATAAAAGTAGCTGAGCGTAACCAAAAGACCCATAGTACCACAACGATCGGTCAATTGATCCAACATCGCGCCGAAACGTGTACCTAAGAAAATAATTAAAATGTGTTTAATAGGTTTATACTTAATATTATTTACAGTAGAGATAAATTGCTGACTTTTGCACTTTCCCTATATATGTACACAAATTTATGCATATGCAATTGCATTGCATCGTGACATAAATAAATAAATCTGTACAGATAAGAAAACAATTTATGCATTTTATTACAAGTATATACTTTTAAGTTTTAACTATGAATGTAGCGAATAATTCTTAGATTAAAGTTCTAATCAGCAAATACATATCTATATAGATTATTTTTTGGTTTCTTAACTGTAATAATTCTTATCAAACGATATATTTCGATTTCTTAAATTTATAACATACTTGCTTACACTAAACGATCAAATTGAATTTATAACACTCACTTTGATTAAATGCACGCGCCGCATGCCCGTCTACGGCATCTAGTAGAGCGCTAATGACGTAGCACCATCCGGCGGCCACATAATTAGTAGACATGCACCAGAAAGCTATCAACGCTAGTACAATGCGCGCATATCCTATAAAGAGCAGCAAATAAATTAGTTACCCCATATACATGTGGAAAATCAATAAGTAATCGAAAAGTATGCATAGTTACAAAAATTATCTTAGACAGGTTAATTGAATTAACATTCCATTCTACGTTTGTCATGCCATGTAGGTGTTGCACTACAATTACGTGTACATTACATTAGTACGTACCAATTAGATTTGGAACAAAAAAGAAGACGTTATCGTGTTCTGTTAGCGCCATGATATTTCTCTCTGGTTTTTACTGCAGCTCTTGGTTTGCAACGTTACTATAACAAACAGACGTTTGTATTGTACACTTAAATACTGATGATATCCTTCCGAAACCGCAATAGCTAATGATGACGACACCACGGATATTAGTAATGTTAATTGCTAATAACCGAGCCCCCACACTTTATTGTAAAGATGTGCTTAGTTGGACACTGTTTAAATTTAAACAACTAAATATATGATATTTTTATTTTGAACTTTTATTTCCTTGGAATGCAATTTTAAAATGCTGAACGCATTTAACTGCAGTTTACTGGACTTTTTGTTCTACCAGAATTTTTCTTTCTGAAAGAGTTTCTACAACAAATTGGGTGTAGTACGTTCAGTGTATGGCACAACAAAGTCGAAAATAACATTGTCAGGGTGGCGACATTTTAAAAATTAAGACACTGTTAATAGTACTTTTTTACTTCCTAAAGGAAAAACAATCCAATTGGGGACCATAAATAAAATTTAAGAAAACTACCACAGTTTATGAGTATATCCTATGCCCTCTCAATTAATCTTTTCATCATAAATCGCAATATCAGTATTTAAATAAATGTATGATCGTAACTTTTAATTGCAACTCTGTAGGGAAATTTGCTCGTTCATCGCGAAGTTGAAACGAAACGAAAAAACCTCGAATAGATTTTCTGGTCACAGTCCTTGTGAATTTTGAGCAGACAATTTCGTGCATTAAAACCTTGTGAAAATTGTTATAAAATAACAAAGAATAATAATTTGACTTAAAAAAACTTGAAAAAACTAAAAGCAAGTTATGAAAGGAACGCGTTGATGCAGAAAATGCGTTGAAATTTTAACTGGCTAAGGCAGAATGAAAAAAAAGTAGAAGAAGCATTGGTGGCAGTGTGTGTGTGTGTAAATGTTCAAAGCAGAACAAAAAGTTGGAAATACGGCGTGAATGAAGAAACGTAAATGTAAGAAAAGGATTAGAGTGCGGGCAGAAAAGTAGTTAAAACGACGAAGTCAATGTATGTAGGATTTTGTGCGTAGCAGTTACCGATCTGCATTGTGCATTCAACACTACGCTTTACTACGATCATAAATATACTTGACGCAAAAAGGTTGACACATTTGTAAGCCATTAACGATATAAGTGAACTCATGACGCTAACGGGAAACTGTGTAAAGTAAGCGCAAAGGATAAGCTAAATAAGTTTGAGAATTAAATACAGAGGTTCAATCATTGCATATGACGTGTTTTCAAACCTCTACATTGTGAAAGATGAGGCAATCTCATGAAAGTCATGCGCATATTGTACGAAAGTCAAAGTTATTTCTGAAGTAATTTGACAGGGATATGAAATATGATTTGTGAATCAAGACTTAAGTTGTTTGTTGTGAAGAGAACTAAAAAAAATTTTACCTGCACTAAAATTACCTCATTTTGTACGATCGCTTTTCGAAACCAATTTTAGGTGTATTTGCCAAAATACAAAAAAAATTAAAGGAACAGGGTTGCAATATTGTCTCTCGTATGACAGATAGGATTAGGTATTTATTTATTAGACTGCTTACTCAATACAACTGCTAAAGTGAATATTTGCTGCTGTTTAAAAATTTTGGCTCTATGCAAGTTTTAATTAGCTTAAAGTTTATTCCAAAAGACTTCTGAAATTATAACCATAAAAGTAATCTTTGTTTCCATTTTAGATTTTCGTACATATTGTTGCTTTTCTTCGATTCATATATTAGGTTGTAGTGTTGTCTCTTTTAATCAAATGTTGTTGCAGTATGCGGCATGTCGGCTCAAGCGATTGAAATGGCGAAGTTTTTTTTTCTTTTTTTTTTGACAAATCGCTATTTTTTATGTTTTGCTTTGTGTATGTTACGCAGCGAAAAATCGTGTAAAATGATATAAAAAGTTTTTTAAATTCACAGGAAAAGAAAAAGGAGCTTTTCAAAACTATATTAAAATAATTATTATGTATTATATATAATTATGGAAATAGATAGGTTAGTAATCATACAATCAGTATAGAAAATATTCTGATATGTGCTATTTGGTTTTCAGTGCAACTCTTTGACAGTAAAATGAAAAATTAAAAAAATAATAAGTAAATCATTAAAAAGAAATACTTTGGCAGACAAAGCAGACACAAAATCATTGATTGGTTACAAAGTGCTGGCACTGCAATTGTGGTTACATACGCAAACGTCGCCATAGCCACGTACGTCCGTGGCGGATACACCGGCATTGGACAACTATCTGGGTACTCACGCTAGTGGAATAGAGCACATTATTTTAATAACGAGCAGTGTATAGAATTACACATAATATTTAACATCACAACGTACATTTTTCGATTGTCGCAAAAAATTCATATTAAGAATTTTGCATACGCTACGATTTGCGAGCTATCAAGCAAATACTAATTAGGCCATTTTAATGGCATTGGTTTGCCCATCTCCCCCTCTGATGCGGAAAAATGAACAATGAAATCAGTGGTAAGACTCTTCTATCCGTCACCGCATCGATCGCTGCTACCATCATACCTGACACACCTATTGTGTCCATAGCCGGTGCCACTTTAAGTGAAATAACCACAACAACAACTTCAACGACAACAACACCGACTCCCACACCAACACCAACATCTTTCATACCATCAAATAAAACCAACAAAGACCATATTAACGCCAATTTGCCAAACAATCCAATGTCTGATGCTGCTGTCGCCAAGTCAGCTGGAGGCAACGGTACCGCCGCTGCAAACAATACCACATCTAATACACCAGCAGATACAGGTGGTATCACCGGCAAAAATTCTTCACTAGAACATACCACTATTGTGAACATTGCCAATGCTGGAAAAACAGATGACGCCAATACAAATGCATCAACTGACACAAAGGTAAGTTTAATGCTGTGATGTACCTATATTTCATTAGTTCTAGTAGTGCTATTAACAGAATTAACTCACTTACTGCTACCAGTAATGTAAATGTGTAATTTAAGTTTGCGGTTCTTATACGAACGGTACGTAGTTGATATTTAAAGTGTATAAATATGTGTGAGGACGAAGGCCATCATCACACAGCAGCTTGTATGGAAAGACAACTGCTAATGAAGTTTAATAAAAATAAAAAAAAACCGTAGGAAATCAATAGTGTGGCCTTAAAAACGTTCACCTTTCTCCTAGTACAAATATGCACATATAAAATCTGTTGTTTGTGCAGTTGTAACAGTCTTTCTCAGATATTTATCTAGCTTTTTCATTTCACAGAACATTCATAATTTTTTTTACGCTAATTATTAATATCTTTCTAAATTCAGAAAATAAGTGATAGTGACGTATACTCGTACATAGTACGTTCATATATATTTATATTTACATATATATTATATTTGCCGAAGATAAGGCGATGTCATATGAACTGTATTATTTTATACTACTAATTTGATGGAAAATAATGGATGCGCTTTCTGTAATATATATTTTAATATAGTTATGGCTTCAAACTACAGACAGCTATAGAAACTAAAAATACTCTCTTTCTTAACCTTCAGCTTTTGATCCGTACTTTGATCGCAACAGCAACATCCAATCCGTTGCACCTAAATTTGACACACATTGCACAACGCAGTGTTTAGTTTAATAAAATTTCAACTTATAGCTCTATTATTAACCGTCTCCACTTCAACGCATATATTCAATTTAGTAACTTAATGTGGTTTGTTGTTCAGTGCATGTATACCTTTATAAAGGGTTCATTATTATAAATATATGTATATATATTTTTAATTATTTCACATATGTACATACATACATGCACACAAATGAACATACTCTTTTGCATTGCCATTTGAAATACATAAGCATTTATTACAAAAACTTTTTCGTTTATAGTCCATACCCCTCCCTCCTTATTCCCACGAATACGTATTAATGGTGTCAAAACAGAATAATAACTAAGTTAAAACTGTTCGGTGATAGGTTTTTTTTTCTATCAGCACCTGATAGAAAAGAATAAACATATAAACATAGAAAACCGCAATGCCCCGTTAGCGGTGAGCATTGCGACAACTCCCAATTACTGAAAAGCAAAAGCAACACATGTCGAACACAACGGTTTGGTATGCTTGGTTCGGTGGAAAACGCACAGGCCGTTGGTTTTCCGGTGTATGTCCGTCCGGGAGCAAATAAAGGGGTACGGTGTTACGATTTAAAGGCAAACCAAAAACCGCATTACTGCAAGGGCAGAGCAAATAATATAAAATTGTTTTTTTCATATGTCAAAAAAGTTTTACTGTGATCAACATCTTTAGTGAAATTATTATAAACACTTAAATGTGTAGGACGCATATACGTTAATGTGTTTTTTTTTTCTTCTTTCATATCGTATAAGTTAGTTGAAGAGAAAATATTGCAAAACCAGTGTGCAAAGAAAATTATAATTATAAACTTTGTAGTTTTATTTTAAATGTACTTTTATCGTGTGAACAATTAACGGATTTTAATAAAATCAAGTACCAAATACCTACTATATATGCATATAATACGGTTATGATTCGCTTTACGTTTCGAGATTTTGAAATGAAATAATTATTATTACATTATCATATAAATGTTTCTATAATATATATTTTAAGTAATTGTGTGCTCTTTCTATACGATAGCGAGAAATTTACAATTTTTCTTAAGTTTTAAATAAATTTTCTCTTCGTTATTACAGAAATCTGATATCTCCGATTTAGAAGAACCTGAGTTAAAAAAGTTACTCGACGAGGCCTACAATTACAAGACACCCAAGGACAAAAAAGATAAAAGCGAAATATTCTTGGTTGGCAAACATTAAATTTAACATTAAAAACTAATACTTAATTAAAATCGTATTATGTATATTGCAGGATTTGCTGCAGAAGGTGGAAAATGAAGATCTGGGCATAACATCGACACGTACAGATAGTCATCGTCATCATCCGCATTCACAGAGTCGTCATCAGCAGAAGCAGGGTGGCTCATTGCAAGATCTATTACAGCTGCCATCCGATTATCGACGCCAAAATCATACATCACGTCACAAGAAAAACACGTCTGTGTCTTCACGTCAACGTGAGGGTGGCAGTTTACCCAGCAACGTCAATGTGGCCAATTGCTTGCTAAGCAGCTTTGGCCAACAATCGTCCGTATACACGGATAAACGTGTGCGTCGTGGTATTTTGCCAGGCGTGGAAAGCGCTACTGTTGCTTTGAACAGCAATAAGACATTGGTCGGCGTAGTTGGTTTGGCTGTTAGCGATCCAAACGCCAATTGTTTGCTAAATAGCTTTGAACAGCAGACACCTGTCTACGCGGATAAACCTGTTCGTCGCATACTTGGTCTTGCTGGTGGTGATCCCAACGCAACTACTGGCGGTACAGGTACCAGTGGCAGTGCTGGCACGAATTCGGTAGGTGTATGCAGTAAGGACAGTGGCAACAGTGTTGGTGCTAGCGTGACAAGTGTCATTGGTGGCGCTGGGAATATGGCGACCACAGCGAGTGGCCATAGTGTTGGTGGCACGATGGCAACTGGCGCGGGTATTGTTAATAATCCAGTAAAAACTGCCAATTCCATTAGTGGTAGTAGTGATTATATTATTAATATTGGCGATATGATCGATATTCAACAGCAGCAGCAAATTTTACCATCAAAAGCACAAGACGGCGGGCAGGTAATGCATAAAACATGATTTTCATATTTTTGCATATTTTATACTTACAATATTGTTTTACTTTATCACAATATATAAGGGCTTGCCGTATTATGAACGTGTTGATATTGATATGCGCATACCGCGTCCAAATTTGCACCGTGGCGAGGGTGTGGATTTCGCACCAGCACACTCCCATCATTATGTCGACGAAGTAATTCGTTTTCATCAAATCGATGGCGGCGATGGTAGTTTGTGTGAGAGTGGTGAAGTAGCCATTTCAGTTAATAATCTTGGCAACAAACTCAAGTCGGCGGCTGCGTCCTGTTCCCTCCCGATGCCGTTAGACGAGCGTTACCGGTCCATTAAATCGGTGATGGGTGAGAAGGGCGACAACGCCGGCGTCAGTTTGAATGCAGCAGTTACAGCAAAGTCGTCCGGAACCATAACAGCAAACAGTGGTGTTGCCATCAGCAATTCAAGTAATAATTCAGCTGGCGGTGTCGGCACCAACAGTATCGGTATTGGCAGCTACACAAAATCACTACCATTATCGGTAAGTTGTAATACAATGCGAAAATAATTGAGAACCTAAAACTTAATATGTGTTATTTTTACTGCGCCAGCGTCAGACTGACGAGAACGGCAACGACTGCGAACGTCAGCAGCACAATAGCAGCAGCAGCAGCAGCATTACTGTTAGTGCAGGTCAATCGCAGGCGAAGGCCAAAGCTAAGAAGAAGCCGCAAAAGGATAACACCATACCTGTCGATGTTGAGAATGAGGCTGGTTACCGCGGCAAGGATCCAGTCGAGGTATTGCTGAAGTTCATAGAGGAGGATAGCAAGCAGAGTGGTAGTGGTGGCAGCAAATTTGCCGAAAATAATAAAAAGAAAGAACGCAAAAAGGAGAAAGTGAAACAGAGTAAAATAAAGAAAAGCAATTCGCTGGAGGAGTTGCGTAGTTGTGCCAAGATCGATGTTGGCGAACTTAAACAATCGGCTGCCACAACTGAGAGCAACAATGTCACAATGCGCAACAAAGGCAGTGGTGGTGGCGGCGGCAAGGGTGGCAAGAATAATTCTGCCTCAATAGCTGATATAAATAAAAACTTTGACGGTGGCAGCAAGGAAGGCGCAACCACTTCGCCAACCAGCGGTGGCAAGTCAACGACTGTCGTTGCCACCAATGCAAATACAACGGCGAGCAATCGCAAAGGCGAACGACGTTCATGGGGCACGGAGGAGTTGCAATATTTGGGCACTGAGGGCAGTGTTGGCGGTGCTGGCAGTAACAGTGGCTCCGTTGCTAGTAGCGGTGAGGACAAGGTGAAGGAGAAGAAAGATAAAAAGAGTAAGGAGAAGGATAAAGATAAAGAACGCGATGTCGAAAAAGATAAAGGCAAGGAGAAGGAGAAGGATAAAGAAAGTGATAGGCAGGATAAACTGACAAATAATAAGCTTGACGGCAATACAAAACTGGATAAACATGATAGAAATGATAAAATTGAAAAGGCAGAAAAGCAGGAGAAAATTGAAAAGCTTGAGCGTACCGACAAGTTGGAGAAACGCAAAAGGTCCGAGAGCATTATGCATACTCCGATTGCCAACTCGGTGGAGCGTCAAGATGCCGGTACCCCGATATTCTCGGCAATCGACTTATTGTCTATGAATGCGCTGATATCCGAGACGGCCGAATTTCATGTGGTTACCAAAAAGAAGAAGCCAAAGAAGCAGCGCGCTTCCATTGACGAAACTCATTTTACACAAAACTCGAATTATAACAACAGCAACAACAACAGTGGCCACAACAGCTATAATAATAATAATAATAATAATTGTGGCACAACTATGCGAGCGCACAATATGGTATTAAATGCACAGAAAAATAACAACAACAGCAATAACAATAACAATAATAATAATGTGTCACAACAACAACAACAGCAGCAGCAACAATCACGTTATAAATACCATAACAATAATGCGCATGGATTTAACTCTTATGGCAACGGTGGTGGCAGTGGCAGTAACAACAACAGCTTCGGCGAAGATGGACGCCTGGATTATCGCAATAATTATAATTCCAATTATAATAATAATAGCTACAATAACAACTACACACATCAGCAATATGGCTATCAACATCAGCAACAGCAAGGTCCTTACCATCACCATCAGCATTATCAGCAACAACAACAGCAGCAGCAACATCATCATCATGCACACAATGTGAACAGCGGCGCCACAGACAAATCGCGTCGTAAATCAACTTCCTCAGTGCCACCTTCGGAGAAATCCGATTCTAGTGATCTCGATTCGGTGCATTCCTTGCCCATAGAATCAACCACAGCTTCAGCGACCAAAAACAGACAGCGTCACAAGCAGTGTGACGCATCGACCACAACCACGCCAGAAACACCGAAGAGTACGGCGAGCGGTGGTTCACCAGGCTCGGCGCCGATTTCCTATGCACATATCGCCGCGGCAGCTGCTGCCGATCGTTGGCCCAGTCTCGATGCGGCAAACAACAACAATGCAACGGCAAATGGCATTAATAACTCGCCTACTATTGCCAACAATACGTGCGAGCAATTGCCGACACAAGTGGCCAACAATGCTGAAATTGCCACACCAGCCACACTGTCAAATGCCAGTAACAGCCCCTCCACGGCAGCAGCTGTTGCTGCCGCAGCAACAAGTACGGCCAGCAAACAGGGTAAGAGCAAGAAGCTCACCATCAAACCGGATTTCCCTGAGCTGGGTTCCAGCAATGCTACGGTTGCGACGACGTCAGATAACAGCAAGCCAAACATAGCAGCCGCAGTCATACCTATAGTTGCCGCCGCATCGAAAACTATATCATATTCTCAGAGTCTAGTTGCCGCACCCGCACAAATAAACGCCCAGCCTAACATTGTAGCTATGGCAAACGGTGAAAAAGTGGCTGGCCACACAGTCGACGCCGCCGTTGCAGCAAGCGCTACCGCTGCTGCTACTGCTGTTACAGACAGCAATAACGTAACGGATGTCAACAAGGTTGAAGCCAGCAGTGGCAGCACAGCGCGCTTGCCACAACAACAGCCAATGCAGCAACAACAGTCACCACAGCAACAGATGCAGACGCTAAAAAAGTCAAAAAGTGTCGAACATGATAGTTACAGTTTCAACAGCAGTAACCTGGATCAGCAGTATCCGGCCTTAGCAAAGACAATGAAACGTAATAGCGCCACCAACGTATCCATTTCACCACCAACGGCTGCCGCCACACTTGTTGCTGGCGCAGTGTGCAGTAGTGGTATACCAACGCTGGCCGCCAGTTCAATGCCACCTGCAAATGCTGCTAGTTCCACTAAATTTAATTTCGCCGCAGCTGCCAAACAGCTCGTGGTCAAAAGCTGCTCTGTATCACAATCGTTATTAACGCAAGACTCTAGTCCTGCAGCAGCAGCGACGCAGCCAGCAACAGTTGCAGCAATAACTACCTCAGGCGCTCCAGCTGCATACACAGCAGTACCGGCCAATGCGGCCATTACAGCCATTACAGCTGCAGCAAATGTTACGATGGCGCCAGTAACAATGCCGGCGCGCAAGTCAAAAGAAAAGTCGCCAACAGCTGTATTTGCACCGCCGACAGCGAACAACGCACTTGCAAACGCAACTACAAACTTAGCTGCGCAGACGGCCGAGTTAAGCGCTGCGTTCATTACAGCACGGAAAAGCAAGAAAGAGAAGTCACAGCCAGTGCTGAGCGCAGATGCGACCATAAGCTTAACAACAAACGCTGAGCCGCATGCTCACGTTGCACAAAAGCTGAGTACAGCCACACAGACGCAAGCGACATCCATGGATATAGTTACTAGTGGTAAAACTACGCGCTCACAACCAAATATGGATGCGGGCAGCGAAACGGTTGTGATGCCACCCATTGTGAGCAAACCGCAACGGTTGCATGTTAGCAACGCCACTAATAGCGGCAAAAGCCATACAGCAGCAGCTGCCACAACGGCAAGCAACTTTGCAAATGCCGGCGCTGTGGTAGGTGCGCTGAATTGCAGTGCGCCCAGCAACCGGCCGGCAGTTATAATTTTGAATGATGATCGCGCCGGCGACAGCAGCGCCGTTGGCATTGAATTCACATTTGGCGACTTCAACGAGGACGAATTGAAGTTTTTCGACGACAACCTTGCCGAAGACGAGTGCACGGATGAGCTGGCAGCCGATGAATTGGCGACACAGCAGCAACTGCAACCAGCGACCGCTGCAACATTGAGCACCGCTGTTGCAAACAGTGCGCATACAAAAAATGCCGTCGCACCAGTAGAATTGGCTAGCGACAACAATGTTACACCGTTCGTAGAGAACGCGGCGCTCTATGCAGCCGTCAGAGCAACATCTCCACAGCCAACCTTTATCGGGCCGCCCTTAAGCAACATACCTGTTGTTAAGGACATTGCACATATTGTGAAAACGCCAGTAATTGCTGTCCCTAACGTTGTCAGCAACAGCGTTGATCAAGCCAACGTGATTGACAATAACAGCGCTGTAAGTGCGGCCGCAAACGACGCTGAACTGCAGCAACAACAGCAACAGCAGTTGCAGCGGCGTAATAGCGAAACGCAAAAATTGCAACAACTGGAGACTTGCAATGACATTGAGACCGCTATTATAGCTGCGGCCCGCGCAGCCGCCGAACAGCAACAGCAACAGCCACCCATGCAGCCACCACCGCTGCAACAGCAACGTTCATATCGGCACAAACATCAACAACAATATAGAAGTACTTCCTACGGCAATGCCTACGAGCCGCCACAACAGCGCGAGCAACGCTCACAATCCGCATACACGCGTGATACGCCGAATAACTATCAACAACAACACCACTATCATAGTCAATACCATCAACAGCAGCACTATCACTACCACCAAAGTAGCAGTAGTAATAGTGCCTCGCGCAGTCGCAGCAGTAGCAGCAACAACAATGCAAATTCATATGATGTTTCGGGCAGCACACCGCCGCCACAATCACCAAATGCCACAGCAGCCGTTGTGGTGAATATGCAACGCAAAGAATTCGACATACATTTCATACCGCCCACAGTGTCGAACGCATACAACGCGTTGCAGCATAACGAGATTATTGTGGATTTCATTGGATCCGGTAAGTGCAAGCAAGCAACACGAGTGTTTGAGTGGGTTCAAGGTGTTGGCACAGAAAATACATGTTGGTTGAAAAGTTTCTGCGCGCGTAATGAAAAAATACTGTTTCTGTTACGAAGTATATTTTTTTATGCAATATAATCTCCCTTACTTCAAAACACTTATTGCAATGATTCACCATTAATTTAATCCCATTCCTATAATGAGTTTCCGGAAGCGCTGTAAAATACCTGACTACAGCTGTAATAGCTGCTTCATTCGACGAAAAATGCTTTCCACGTAGGAATTGTTACAGGTTTCTGAAGAGGTGGTAGTCACTGGTGAATACGGTGAATGCTCAAGCAATACGTACTTTAATTCGTTGAATTTTGTCATTGTTAAAACAACTTTTTGAGCGGGTGCATTGTCTTGCTGAAAAAGTTTTTTTTTGTGCTGCAAACCAGGTTTTTTCTCACGAATTCTTTCATTCAGCTGAGCAATAATATTCAGTGTTGATTATTTTACCTTTCTGCAGCTAATCAATCAACAAAATTCCTTGACAGAATGACTTGTAACTTTGCATGTGTGCTCACGACAGTTGTAGCAACTTGAGGAAAAAAAAAAAAAATTTAGAGCTGGTAGTGCTATTTCTTGTTGAGAGCAGAAACTTTTCCACCAACCTGTAATTGTAGTAATCGACAGTGTGGGCATATAGCGCTGCCACATAATGAAAATTTCAGCTCACTAAGCGTACGCCTACTTTACATTGTGGCCTTGCAAAAGTTGTATGTACTAATTTTATTTTTCTACTTATTTCCATAGCTTGGGAGGAAGTGGCTAAAGTGACGAAATTCTACGAAGGACAATAAAACGCCGCCACAACAGCAGCAGCAAATACATAGGCACCACAATCACTGCATTACAACATAAACAAAGCGCAAATATAAAAATGACAAACACGCCCACAGCGTCAAAAAACCAACAGCCACAGCGTCTGATACAATTTGACAGCTACAGCGTGCCTACACGCGCTTGGCGTAGGCATGACTGTCAACTTTAGCAAACTGCATAACGCATAGTTAACGGCTTATGGCGTTTTTTGTTATTTCGGTTAAGCGCTGCAACAAGTGCGTGCTTGTTTTGCTGTTGTTTGGTTAAATTAAAGCGTCGTTACGCTGTACTTAGTGCCGTGGCTGCGCGTTGCATTGTCAATAAACGATCTTGTACGTATAGTTGCTTATTTAAAGTATGTTATTATAAGTGTTTAATTATATTATATTATAAAAAGAACTGCGCAAACGTGAGCACGCAAAGGCAAAGAATTACAAAAAAGAAAATATTCACATAAAATGCAAATACAGTGTGGGAAGAACAGCGCGTGTGTAGAAAGCATACTTGTTATATACAAGTATATATATGTATATATATGAAAAAGATAAACACTACACATAAATATATGTATGGCCTACTAACTAACCAAAAAAAAAATATATATATATATGTGTATATTGATTGCTTTTTGTCTGTACATGGCTGCTTGTGTGCTTTTAACGCCTTCTAATGCACTATTACGCTGAAACTCTTAACAACTAATATAAATACTATTTTAATTTACTTAGAAGTTAATCAGTGAAATGTTAGTTTATAAATTAAATACGAATTCGAAATCCATAGCGAAAGAGAGAGAGTTAGAGGAAGAGAGAGAGAGAGAGAGACAATGTTTAAATGCGCGTAAAACATGAATTGAAATAAATATGAAAAAATATTATTATGAAAATTGAATTAAAAGCAAGCAAACGTATATACTCGTATGTAGAAAAGCGTATGTATGAAGAACTAAGCAAAGCAACGTAAACTTGCGCTGCATGAAAACGCTCATATGTACTGTACAAAAAAAAATATTTTTATGCAAATGGAAACTATGCATTAAAATACACATTTAAATAATTTTATATGCTAATTTAATGAATTGTTATGAACAACTGAAACAGCATTGTGTGTAACGCTGTGAACGCAGGGCATAAAGTGCAGTTGTTTTTACAAGGCAGCAAATGTCGGGCAAGCGGAAACGTGACTGAAATGGAAACTTGGCGCACTATGGCGCTTTGGATGTGCACTATTTAACAGTTCGCAAGCAAAAGAAGCTGTACAATACATATAGTAGTTATAGACATGCGTATATATACAAAAAAAAATATATATATATATATGTATATATATATACATTTAAATATATAATTAGCTACTATAGATGTACTTTATGACTGTATGTTTAAATTTATATACATGCTGTGCTGCTGTTTCGGAACGCCGACTGCACTCAGTGAGTGCGTGCGTGCAGCATAGCTAGTCGTGTGGCGAATAGCAAAATTAAATAAAATCGCACATAAAATCTAAACACGACTAACATATTTCAATTGTAACTGTAGCAGCAGCGTCTCCTATGCAGCATGCCAGCGCGCGTTCTGCTTGCGAGCAAACGTAGCGATGGCGCAGACAAAACACACGAAAAAGGCATATATAACACAACATAAATAAAGCCAATAAGTAGACTAGCGGTAAAGCAAATCAACTGAACTATTTAAATAATGCATAAATTACAAAAATAAAATAAATAATGTTAAACACACACACACACACATGTACACAACTCATATGGTGGCAAACATTTACATACATGCACACACACACATACGCATATGCCGCTAATACTAAAAAATAAAAGTTGTAATTGTATAATTAATAATGGCAATGAAATCACGCGATATTAAAACTTATTTAACACTTACTAAACTACTAAAAATAGCAACAAAATTTGCAAACAAAAACAAAATACAACAAAAAGTAATGAACTAAATATTCTTCAATGTACTATATACTTAGTAAGTATTATAAGCTTATTTATAATTGAAAAAACAAAACAAAAAACAAATCAAAAAATCAAATAAAATAACGGTTAGCAATAGCTTTACTAAAAAGCGCACTAATGCTGCATGAAGTCTTAAGATTAGTTAAAATTGAAAGCATACAAATTAAGTGCGTTAATAATTGAAGTGAACTAATTTCTAACGCATACAATTGTGTTTTAATAAAAATTACTAATAATGGCAGAGCGTAAAATATCGGTCATGATTGTTTTTTTTTTTTTAATTTTATTAATAGCATTGAGTTTTCTATTCATTTTGTGTGTTTGCAGTTATAACTTATTGAATTTGTTTTTTTTTTTACAACATTTTCAGCGCTGTAGACATAGAGCTCTGCAAATAAAATACAACATGCATAGGAAAAATTTAAAAATTGTCAAAAAAAAAAATTTTTTTGTTTTTTTGTTTGTTAGCTCCAAAAAAGCTTCAGCCAAGTAATAAAAATTTTATGCTCAACTGAATTAGTCGTGCATAAGCACAATCACTGCTTGTTGCATATTTACAAATTACAATTATTTTTTAACTATAATGTTTATATATAATTTGCTGTTCACTACGCAGTTGGCTTGATACATTTTAATTCCTTTATTACAAAAACAATGTACAAATTAATTTCGCTTATTTGTCATAATTTAAATATTTTGAAACTTTTCACATTTTTTAACAAAATATTCGTTTATTTTCTCATGTAAAACTGAATTTTCTATTTTTCAAAGTTAAAAATAAATACGTGTTTATTTACATTTTTATTAATTTTTTTTTTTAATTTTCACAATTTTTTTTTTAATTTCTATTTTTCAAAAATATTTTTAAACTTTTCACATTTTTAACAAAATATTCAATAATTTTATGTAAATCTGAATTTCCTATTTTTCAAAAATATTTTGATTTAAATATTTTAAACTTTTCACATTTATTATTTTATTTTTTTTATTTAAATTATTTTTTTTATTTAAATTGTTTTATTTTAATTTTTTTATTATCCTTTTTTTAATTTTATTTTTTTTTATTTTAATTTTTACATATATTTTTTAATTCTATTTTTAAAAAATATTTTTAAACTTTTCACATTTTTTGATAAAATATTCATTTACTATCTTACGTAGATCTGAATTTTCTATTTTTCAAAAATTATTTTAAACTTTACACATTTTTTAACAAAATATTAATTTATTTTCTTATGTAAATCTGAATTTTCTATTTTTCAAAATTAAGAATAAATAATTTTTATTTTATAATTTTCTTTTTTTTCCTCTAATATTTTTTTTTTTTACATTTGTCTAATTTTTTTCTATAATTCGTGGTTTTTTTACATTCATTTGCTGTATGATTGAATTTTTGTCGAATTTTTCGTGTCTGATATATTTTTTTTGGATTTTCTGTTGTTTTTCAAAAAAATTTTATTTAGTAAAAGTTGCATTTTTTTTTATATTTTTAATTTAAATATTTTTAAACTGTTCACATTTTTTAACAAAAAAATTTTTATAATTTTTTATTTTAATATCCAATTTTGTTTTAACTTTTTAATTTTTTTTTTTAATTCTCAAATTTTTTTTTATAAACTGTTTTTGCTGTATAATTGAAATTGTTGAATTTTTCATGTCTGATATATTTTATTTGGATTTACTGTTATGTTTTTTTCAAAACTTTTTTATATAGCAAAATTTGCATTCATTTTTGGTTTTTAATTTTATTTTTTATATATTTTTTATTTTATGTTCTAATATTTTTTTTTATTTTATGTTCTAATATTTTTTTTTATTTTTAAGTTTTTTTTTATATATTTTTTTTATATGTTTTTTTTGTATATATTTTTTTATTTTATTTTATTTTTTCATTTTATATGTTTTTTGCTTTGTTTTATGAATTATTTTGAAATTTTTGAAAGCATTAATATAAAATGCATTTGTTAGTTATTGAAATATCGAGCATTGTCCCTATTTCAATTTTCTATGCTAAAAACTTTCTTCCAACTTGTACATACCGACATTTAATATTTAAAAATATATCTATGTATTTATAAATGAATGTGCACATACCTAAGAGACTTGACAGGAACTTGGCTACAGTAACTGTTGCTTTGCGTAAAAAATTAAATGTTGCAACAAAGATAGCGTTGCGTTAGTTAAAATGCATTTCAAGAGTATAAGAGCATAAGGCAACTGTAATTATTTCAATAAATGTATGAACGTTTGTATGTTTGAAGTTCTGCAAACGGAATTTCCAAATTAAACAAATTTAAATGCTTAAAATCGGCAAACTATGTAAGTACGTTGTAATATATACATATAAAAAGCAAACGATATATAAAAAAATAATGAAAACCAAAAATAAAAATAATTCACTGCAAAATATTTATGATAATTACTGAAAGCAAATAATAAATATATAAATTATTAAAATTTTTCTACCATGTATTTGTAGAAAATTGTAATTTGTAATTGTAAAAAATTAATGAATTTTCGATCAAGTTTTTTAATTCGAAATTAACCGTACACCGCAAACTCAATGAACACGTTAAGATATTTTTCGTGTTTAGGTTGACAAATGGAAAATAGAAAATATTTGCTAGTGAACAAATATATTGAAATTGATTTATAAACTATTAATAAAAAGTATAAACAAATATTTACATGTACTCTACATGCTATTCATGTTTATAACAAAGTTTCCTCTAAACAAACATCTTCAATTAATATTGTGTATATTTGTATTATGTAAAAAATAATCAAACTTAAATAGCAACTTTAACTATAATTAACTTACCGTTAATTTTCGAATTTGAAATTTACAAAATAACGCAATAATGCATACATATGTATAAATAGCATAGCACATTTACGAGTATATACTTGTATGCATACATACATAACTAAACAGTAACAGTTGAGTTCATTAAACTGTTAGAATCATGCATAGGTAAATATGACTATTTGTTAAATATGAAAAAAATTGAAATTTCCTACAATAATGCATAAAGAATGTGCGCCATAAAATTATGGTGTTGAAGCGCTAGTGATCTTTTTTATTTTTATTTTTTCCAAAAATACGCGCTAAATTCACAACGCAAAACTTCATGGCCGTCTGTCGTTTCTAGCATCGCCTTGCATATATCTTCTTTTTTTTTTAGCACTGCTGTGTGTGTGCGTAATCAAAGCATGGTTTACAGCAAACATTACTCATCGCCAAACAAAAATACAAAAAAAAAAAAAACAAATTGCATGTGCGTATAACGTGGCCTTCAGTTTTGCTTTTCTTTCACATATCACCTTATGTTATT